AGCCCAGTTAACCATACCTCAGGGCCACCTGGAAACTATCCAAGTACCAAGCTTCTGAACCCCATTTTAGCCCCACTGAATTTTAATTTCTGGGGCTAGAATCTGCACTGTGAAAAAGCTCCCCAGGCAGTTCCAAGGCTGCTGGCCAGGTGCTGGGAGCCATTGGCCTGTACTGCGCATACTCTAGGAGACAGGCGTTTGCTACCTCTCACGGTGGCCTGATCATATGGATGGGGCGTTCTGCATATCTCAAAACCGGAACAGAGAGAAAGCCTCGAATTTGGGCAGGTTACTCAAGGCCCCTCTGTGCTCACCCCTGAAGAGCTGAGGGGGCTCCTCATTCTCTCTCCCTCCCATTTATGCTGGCATCTGGCCCAGAGGTTACTCATTAGGTGGCTGGGTGTGGCTGGCCCCTCAGCAGACACCTGTTATAGGAGCCTGAACTTCCCCCTTAGCTCCAGCGTCCCAGGAGCCTGTAAATAATTCATCCCGAGCCCTCTCCCCACCCCACTGTTCTCACGAACCTCCCTGCCCCCTCCTTCCCAGGCTGCAGAGGTGTCTTGGGGCAGTCAGGAGTTCCAGCCCAGAGCTGGGACTAGAGCCCAGGGCTCCCTGCTGTCATTAAAAATACAAATTCAAACATAGGCTTGGTGAAGATTTTAAAACCCTAAAGTTTCCCTCCTACCTGTGGCTTTCCAACCTCCAGTGGCCCCCCCAGGGGCACCCCCTATTACTGGTTTCTTGTATATTCTTTAAGAAAGAACTATATGGGTACACAGATGTGTATGTGTGTGTCTCCCCCGTTTTTATACATAAATGGCAACATACTATTTACACTATTCTGTCTTGCTTTTTTTTCACACATCTTAGAACTTGCTCCATATTGGGACATATGGGGTTTTAAAGTTTCTTTTTAATGACTGCATAATGCTCCTCTCTATGGCTGCACCATCCCTTATTTAACCAGCTCCCTGCTTGCATACATGTTCATTGTTTTTCATCTTGTGCTATCGGAAACAGATGTAGCTTTGGGCAGTTAGTGGTGGCATCAGTTGCTGGAAGTGGGATTCTTGGGTCAGAGGGTATGCGCCTGTTGAATGAGGCTAGATATCGCCAAGTTGGGCGCTAAGGAGTATGTTTCGGTTCTCACTCCTGGAAGAGCATATGGGATTCCCTGGTTTCCGAGCCACACAGTGTGATAGCAAACATTTTGTTCTTTGGCAGAGCCATTTTCTTAGCAATAAAATTATGTGTTTCAAGCAGCTCCACCAGAGAGAAGTTGGCCAGTGGGTTCCTGAGCCCACCAGCCCCTCTTCAGAGCCCAGAGAGGGGTGACAAGGCCTGTGGGCCAGGTCTGTCCTGGTAACCTTGCCAGGACAGAGAGGGAAAATGGTACAGCTAAACCCTATCTCCATCTGGTGTCACCCCTGACCCCTTCACTTGTGGAAGACCTGGGTCTGAGGTCAGAACACCTGAGTCCTGGTTCATACCATGACCAGTCAGGACAGCCCTCCACAAGTGCCCTTTCTGAGCCCATTTTCCCACACCTATGAAATGCCTGTCATGGGTCTGGGCTTGCTCAGCAAAAGGAGCAGGAGTGGGTGCTAGGACTGTAAAGAAAAGGCACCTTCAGGACCACTGCCTGTGATCTCTAGGCCAAGGTCTGGGTGGGCAGGGAGCCTCATGCCCTGCCTCAGGCCCGTCTTCCTGACGGTGACTACGAGTCCTCCAGGCATTTTAAGGGCCTCCAGCCTGGGGCTCTCAGCGGCAGTCCCTCACCACGGTCTGAGCCCTCCTTTTCCATATGTAGCAATGGAGGAGTGGTCTGCTGTTCAAACTTCTGTTACCAGCACTCTGGGGGCTCCATGGCAGGTTCAGTGGACCCTAAATACAGCAGCATGAGGAGTGGTGCACTGGAGAGGCAGCAAGAGCTCTAGACCGGGGGCATGGCCTTGGCCAGGCCTGTGCCTGCCTGGGCCTCCGCTGACCCTGACTACCCAGGGTGGTTAGACTAGAAGAGCTCACCAGGCCTCTTCTTTGGCCCTCCAGCTGCCATGTAACCATTGTGAACCATGGTGTCTTCCTCAGTAAAATGAGAGGAGCCTAAACTCTCACAATCCCTTCCGGCTTTAGCCCAGGGAATCCAGTGGGTCTGTGGATTCAGAGCCATGTTGGGCTCCGATGCCGGTGGCATTAGGCAGAACTGTTTTTGAGCCGGCATTGCATTTTCTAGGCCAAGGAGAGGTCCCATCTGGAGCCAAGGCCTGGGCAGCCACTCCCTTATCCCTTTCCCGGGGCCAGGCCTGGCAGAAGGCCGAGGCTATCCCGGGCTATGCTAGGCAGCGGGCTGAGGTCAGTGGACATGGAAGCGTCCAGTGCGGTTCCTCTGCTCTGGCAGGAAACACAGGGAAAAGCTGCCCAGGAACATCTGCTGTCTCCCATTCTCCACAAAGCCATTTGGCTCACGGGGAGCCCAGTGGCTGTCCTGCCAAGCTGCGTGGGCTTAGAAGGGGGGCAGGTGTCAGAATGGGGGTGGGTGGGTGGTTAGTGTAGGGGTGCTGAGGGACAGGCAGTGTTGGGACTGAGCCCCAAGAAGGTGAAGGCTGGGCGGTGGTGGGGGCACTTGGGAGAGGCAGGAGGGGTTGATGGTCTTTCAGAGACCCACCATACCCTGGTGGGAGCATGTGTGGGTCTGGAAGTGCTTGCCTGCGCCTCCTATTTATAGCCACGTGCTCAGCTTCTTATAAAGGAAACTGGTGCTTAGCCAGGCCCCACACCAGCCCAGGCCAAGCATGACTCTTAATATTCTCTCCAGACAGACCTCTGATCCCAGTCCCAAAGAAAGCCCTGACATTAATCCCAGTTGGTCCTCAAATTGAGCTCTGAGTCCCACAAGGAAGCGAAGCCACTGCCTTCTCTCCTGGGTTATGGCAGCTCTCCCTGCATTTCCCCTTCCTCTTGCAAATCTGTTCTCGGTGCAGTAGCCAGAGTCATATTAAAGCCTACATTAGACTCTGTGTCTCCTCTGCTCAGAATCCGGAATGGCTCCCATCCCAGACAGAGGAAAACCCATAGTCCCTCCTTTGTCTCCTGTCCTGTCCCCCTTCTCACTGCACTTCAGTTCCAGCAGCTTCCTCACAGTTCCTCACTGGCAGATGGCAGCAGATAGCAGGCACACAGCGGGCATGCTCCACCTCAGGGCCTTTGCACTTGCTGTTCCCTCTGCCTGGAACCCTCTCCCCAGACGTCTGCATTTTGAGACGGAGTCTCACTTGGTCATCCAGGCTGGAGTGCAGTGGTACAATCTAGGCTCATCGCAACCTCCACCTCTCAGGTTCAAGTGATTCTCCTGTTCTCCTGCCTCAGCCTTCCCGGTAGCTGGGGTTAAGGTATATGCCACCATGCCCGGCTAATTTTTGTATTTTTTAGTAGAGATGAGTTTTACCATGTTGGCCAGGCTTGTTTTGAACTCTTGACCTCAGGTGATCCTCCTGCCTCAGCCTCCCCAAGTGCTGGGATTACAGGCATGAGCCACCACACCCAGCCCTGCATGATTCTTTCCTTTACCTCCTTTAGACCTTTGCTAAAATTCCTCTTCTCAGGAAGGCCTTCACAGCCCATTCTATTTAAAATCACAACCCGCCTCCTCCCTAAATTCCCAGACATCCTTCCCTGCTACCTTTCTGTGTGTGTGTGTGTGTGTGTGTGTGTGATAGAATTTTTCTCGTTGCCTAGGCTGGAGTGCAATGGGGTGATCTCAGCTCACCATGACCTCCATCTGCAGGGTTCAAGTGATTCTGCTGTCTCAGCCTCCAGAGATAGCTGGGATTACACGCATGCGCCACCACACCCGACTAATTGGTCTCTCCATGTTGGTCAGGCTGGTCTTGAACTCCCGACCTCAGGTGATCCACCCACCTCAGCCTTCCAAATTACTGGAATTACAGGCATGAGGCACCATGCTGGGGCTCCCTGCATCCTTTTCATCTGAAATACTTATGAATTAGCATATCGAATATTTTCCATGTCTATTTTTCTTTTTGCCCATCTCCCTCCCCTAGAACATAAGCACCATGAGGACAGGGGTTTGCTTAATTTTGCTCAGTGCTATAGCCCAGTGCTTGGCTCACAGCAGGAGCTCAATGAGGACATGTGGGATGAGCTGCATCTCCCCTGCCTGTTGTCTGGACACAGCAGGGAGTGTGGATGGCTTGGGCAGATCAGCCTCCGGTGGTATCGTAAGCCAGAGCCTTTGAGGTGACTGGCAGGTCCTAGGGGTCCACCAGCAGCCCCAGTCCTCCCTGTGTGACATTGAGGCCATCCCCAGGCATTCGGCAGCAACTGGGAGCCCACGCCTGGGACAGTTCCAGATTCTTTCGGCTTCTGCCTCCACCTGCGGCGCTTGCACAGGAGGAAGGAGCGAGCTGCCATCTCATTAGTCTCCATCACCCTTGCCTGTCCAGCATTCAAACCTGTCTGACATCTGACCACAAAGTTAGAACCACCTGGGGAGTTTGTTAAAAATGCGAATTCCACACTCAAGCTTTCTGATTAACTGGTCAGGGATGCCCTGAAGCGTGTTCTTCACAAGCTGGAGAATATCTGTTCTGAAGCCACTTCTGGAAGCTGCTGGCTTAAAGCTGTTGGAGCTGGACTTCAAAATAGGGCTCCGGGTCAGGAGACCTGGTTGAAGCCAAAGCTCCATCAGCAGCCTGCTGTGTAACCCTGAGCTAGTTGCTTTCCTGCTGTGAGCCTCACTGCCTCCCTGACCAGCCTGGGAAGAATACTTGCCTCCCATGCTGTGAGTCTGCAGGTCTGAGTCTGGGGAATGACTGTTCCCCAGAGGGGAACCCTACCTAGGGTTCTTTCTGCTTCTGAGATGTCTCTCCCCATCTCAGGGTCCTACTTCAGGGAACCTGGATTGTCTTCCTCCTGGGGGTCCTTTTTTGCAGTCTCCGCCTCTCAACTCACCTTCCTTCCTGGCTCTTTCTGCTTCTCAGGTAAGACTCGGACCAAGGACAAGTACCGAGTGGTCTACACTGACCACCAACGCCTGGAGCTGGAGAAGGAGTTTCATTACAGCCGCTACATCACAATCCGGCGGAAATCAGAGCTGGCTGCCAATCTGGGGCTTACTGAACGGCAGGTGTGTATGTCTTCCCATCTCAGCCATAGGAGCAGTTCCAGGACTATGGTCTCCAGGCTGCCAGCAGATTACAGAGTTCAGTAGAAGGAAAACAGAGAGGTTGAGTGTCCAGGCCATTGTCACATAGCACAGCAGAAACTGAGGTGCTGCTAGCACCCTCCCTCAATAAATCCCAATATCCTTGTCCTCAAAGGCAGGGGTAAGGAGATCTGATTAGCCACAGGCTACAGCAGGTTATGATCAGTGCTGTAGGAGGTGTACATGCTGTTTACATCAGGGGAGCAGTCATGAGATAACAGGGAAGGCTTCCTGGAAGAAGAGTGGCCTGGGAAGATGGGGAGGGGGAAGGTTACAGAGAAGGGCATCTCCAGGGTAAGGGTGCAGGGTCTAGAGGGGGGAAATGAGTTCAGGACCCATGAGGTCTGGGTGGCTGGAGAGGAGGTAAGCCACAAAGCCACATGGAGAAATAGGGGCTTGCTGTCCTGTCTCTCCTTCTTGCACTCTCCCCTCTGCTCTCCCTGCTGCCACTTCTCTGTCCTCCAACCCCACAGGTCAAGATCTGGTTTCAAAACCGGCGGGCAAAGGAGCGCAAAGTGAACAAGAAGAAGCAGCAGCAGCAACAGCCCGCACAGCCGCCGACAGCCCACGACATCACAGCCACCCCAGCAGGGCCGTCCCTGGGGGGCCTGTGCCCCAGTAACACCAGCCTCCTGGGCACCTCCTCCCCAATGCCTGTCAAAGAGGAGTTTCTGCCATAGCCCCATGCCCAGCCTGTGTGCTGGGGAACCTGGGGACTCGGGTGCTAGGGGTATGGCTCCTGTGGGCCCAGGAGGTCTAATCTGAGTCTCAGCCCTGCCAGTGACCTTCTGGGACATGGTGGACAGTGACCAATCTATGCTCTGCATCCTCTTGGCCCATCTGTGCAGTAAGCCTGTTGGATAAAGACCTCTTCCAGGGCCTGTGCTCTAGACCTCTGGGGGATAAGAGAGTCCAGGGTGGATGATCTCAATCTCCTGTGGGCATCTAAAGCCCCAGATGGTTGGGGGAGGGGCCTAGACAAGGCTCCAGGCTCTATCTCCTCCTCCACAGGTTCAGGGGTGGGGCGGAAGGCTGCTATAGGGACCCGACTGACCCTGGAGAAAAGGGGTGGAGCTAAAAAAGATGGGATGCTTGCAGAGCATGACCTGAGGAGGCAGAAACGTGGTCAACTCACACCTGCCTCTTCCTGCAGCCTTACCTCTACCTGCCCCCATCATAAGAGCGCTGAGCCCTCCCCAGGCTGGCTGCTAAGCACAAAGCCCACAGCACTGGCTCTGACTGCTCCACTGGGTTGCAAAACCACAGCCCTCATGATCACTCTCAGTGAGGACTCTGGATTGAGAGGGAGGCCCCCAGAGGGGAGGAGCGGGCAGAGTCTACCCTACCAGGTTTCTATACCCCACCAGGCTGTCCATCAGGGTCCAGGTAGCCCCCAGAGGACTTTATGTGGACCAAGCAGAGCTCACAACTGGACAGGTGTTGTATACAGAGTGGAATCTCTTGGATGCAGCTTCAAGAATAAATTTTTCTTCTCTTTTAAAAAATGTATAAAAATCATTATACGTAGCATTAAAGAAAGATTTTTGAGAAGTACAAATCATCCTCGCCTTCCCCAGCAATTGTGTATTCCTTTCCCATTTGTTTAGGCCCAGAACAAGGTCACCTTTAAAACACATTTGAAAGATCAGAACAGGACACTGTTCGAGTAGGTCTGTGAGACTATGTAAAAATGTGAGTTCATTTTGTAAGCAGAATCATCAGACTCAATCTATCAGTCTTTTGAGTTTTTCAGATATGTTCAGTTCAGGTTTTTCTTTCTTTCTTTCTTTTTTAGGCAGAGTTTCACTCTTGTTGCCCAGGCTGGAGTGCAATGACATGATCCCGGCTCATCACAACCTCCACCTCCTGGGTTCAAGCGATTCTCCTGCCTCAGCCTCCCAAGTAGTTGGGATTACAGGCGTGCACCACTGCGCCCAGCTAATTTTGTATTCTTAATAGAGATGGGGTTTCTTTGTGTTGGTCAGGCTGGTCTCGAACTCCCCACCACAGGTGATCCACCCACCTAGGCCTCCCAAAGTGCTGGAATTACAGACGTGAACCACCGCATCTGACCAGTTTTTCTTTTCTTTTCTTTTCTTTTTGAGATGGAGTTTTGCTGTTGTTACCCAGACTGGAGTGCAATGGCACGATCTCTGCTCACCGCAACCTCCTCCTCCTGGGTTCAAGCAGTTCTCCTGCCTCAGCCTCCCGAGTAGCTGGGAATACAGGCACGCACCGCCATGCCCAGCTAATTTTTGTATTTTTAGTAGAGACGGGGTTTCACCTTGTTGACCAGGATGGTCTCGATCTCTTGACCTCGTGATCCACCCGCCTCGGTCTCCCAGGTTTTTCTTTCAATAGATGGCATATATTGCTCACCCCCATGTGCCAGGCGTGTCAGCCTGGGAAGCACACAGTCCTTTGCCTTAGACTGGAGGAGGGGTGTGAAAGCATGGTCTGGGAAGATGTGGAGGGGGAAGTTTATAGAGAAGGGCATCTCCAGGGTAGGGGAGCAAGGTCTAGAGGGGGTGAATGCATTCAGGGTTCATGTGGTCTGGGCGGCTGGAGCAGGAGAGAAGCCACAAATCCCCCTTCAGGGTCTGACTTCAGGGATCCTGAATTGCTCTTCAGAAGTCCCCAGTCCAGTGGGGAAGACTGCCATGCACACAGATCACACTAATATAACAGGATAAGGGCCAATCAGAGCTATGCTCTGAGCGTCAAGGGAGACAGAGCATCCAGGAAGAGCAGAGCATACTCCTAGCTTATTCTGGAAGGCTTCCCAGAGGAGGTAATGTTGAATTGAGACTGAAAGGACTAGTGGGTGTGGGTCAGGCCAAGAAGGGAATAAAGGAGAAAAGGAACTTGAGCAATATGAACTGAAAGTCTAATTTTTTTGAACTCTTGGGAATCTGCTACCTGGGGCCTTCTCTCCCCAGGGGCTCTGGTGCCAGCTGCCTGCCCCTCTGTTTACTGTTCTGGGAGGTGGCCAGGCCATAAAAAGTGTGCACAGCCTGCCTGCCATCGCCCTTTGCCCCCGGGGCACATGATAACAGCATACAAGGTAGATCCCGGCCTGGCACAGGCCCCTGAAGAGCAGCAGGCACTTCTCTCTCCTCCTACCACTGGGAGACAGTGGAGCTCCATTAGGAATGGTGGACACCTGAAGCTTGGGAAAAGTCCAGGGTTCCAAGAGCAGAGCGGGAGGGGCTGGTGAAAAGGTGGGTGGCACTGAGTGACTAGAGTTTTCTGATCGTCAAAAAAATGTGCTCTGTGACCCTAGGGTAATAGCTTCCCTTCTCTGGGCCTTCATTTCCGTATCTGTGACATTGGGGAACTTGTCTACCATAAAGAAGTAACTGGTCAAGTAAGTTTGGGGAATCCTGCAAAAGCCACTCCTCTGATAGAGTCACAGTGGGTCATTTGCACATCAAAGTCTCTGACAAGCCCACAGCAAAGAAACCCCTTGAATTTTCTTTCATCTGGCATTCCCCAAGCTTTGCTACCTTAGGAGGCCCCTACTCACACCTCCCAGCATCCCACTGAACTCCACACACTCTGCAGTGCTGGGATGTTCGGGCTGGAGGGCCACACCTTCTCCGTGACTCAGTATTTAGCGCAGGTTTTATAGTCAGATGGCCTGGATTTCAGTGTGACTACTTCCAAGATACAAAACTTCAGGCAAGTTACTTAGCTTCTTGGAGCCTTAGCTTCCCCATGTGTCAAATGGAAATAAAATAGACTTAACTGAGCTTAGAATTGTGTTTCACACAGGGCCCAGCACATAGTAAGTGCTTGTTTCTTGTTGTTGTTGCTTTTGTTTTTGGGGGGTTTTTTTGAGACAGAGTTTTGCTATTGTTACCCAGATTGGATTGCAGTGGCACGATCTCGGCTTGCTGCAACCTCTGCCTTCTGGGTTCAAGCAATTCTCCTGCCTCAGCCTCCCTAGTAGCTGAGATTACAGGTGGCTGCCACTATGCCCAGCTAATTTTTGTATTTTTAGTAGAGACGGGGTTTTGCCATGTTGACCAGGCTGGTCTTGAACTCCTGACCTCAGGTGATCTGCCCGCCTTGGCCTCCCGAAATGCTGGGATTACAGGTGTGAGCCACTGCCCCTGGCAAGTGCTTGTTTTTGAACCACCTGCTTACGGGACTGCTGACTCCTAGTGTGAGGCTGGCAGGCCTGGCTGATGTTCTACCCACTTGAAGGAAGACCAGCCTGTCTCCGAATTAGGAAGACCTCTGCCTGGCAGGAGGTCAGTGGCCCCTCCTCTGATAGAGTCACAGTGGCACATTTCCATATCAAAGGGTGAGCTGCAGCAGTTGCCCACATGGGAGGCAGGAGGTTGGATGGGACCCACAGGTTGGGTTGGTGATCACTTACCAATGGGCGTTTAGCCCCATGAAAAAGGAAATTCATCTAAGGCAATTTCCAAGTGGTGCAACGTGCTGCCTTGCATCTTATGAGTTCCCTGTCACCCAGAGTTCCACCAGAGATTGGAGGGCTGTAATGGCTCAGGAAAGAGACCCCAAAAGTCTAGTCAAATCTCACAGCCAGGGATAAGAGGTATTCAGCTCTCCTATCAGGAATGACTTGTGCTGCTTTGCATACAGTGACTTTGTGCTGGCCCTCCAAGGCCCACAGACTGCTTATGTCCTCTAGCAAATCAGAATTGTGCATGTCCGCACTGTTTACATACATTTTCAGGAAGTCTATTGACTCCTAACCCTATGTTGAGATCCTCAGTCTTATGGAAAAGCCAAGCCCATCATTGATTGCCAAGAGATTGGTGGGAACTGAGATGAGCAATTGCAGCGCTACTCTAGAGAGGGATGCGGGGTTGAGGAGGTCTCCAGTAGCTAAGTGTGCGTGTGTGTGTGTGTGTGTGTGTGTGTGTGTCTAAGGATGCGTGTGTGGTGGGGGGGTGGGCTGTGATAGGGGTACATTGGTTAGAACAGGAAGACTGTGGAGCTCTGAGGAAATCAACCTGGCTCTGCGTGTTTGAGATGATCTGTCGGGGGCTGCAGAGCTGGGGAGCACAGCAGGCTCGGCCAGGGCAGCTTTGGAGGGCAATCCTGCCCCAGCCAGGCCGCTCTGGGATCACTTCCTCTGAACCACTCCAGATGGACTAGCAGCCTGGAACCTTGTTTTTCACAGTCGTCACTCCCTGGTGTGATAAAACACATGCTCTACTGTGATAAAATCTGAACGTTTAAGCAAATTAAAAATGTTTATTTATATACATTTAAAAATATCTCCCTACATAATAAAAGAAAGTACATTTCATCTGACACTTTCCTTAAATCACGCACACACATCTCCATTGCACTTCTGGTTTGATATGAGACCAGAACAGAGGGGAGGAAAGGGGGAAAGGGAGACTGAATATTTACTATTTGGATTTCTAAGCAGTCATTTTGTCAAGAATTGTTCAAACCTCCTCTGGAATGGGGGAGAGGAGATGGTGGCGACAGCAATTGTCAAACGTGCTTGGTCGCCAGACTCCTGGCTGTTGTATGATCATAAAATTGGAGCTTCAGTGGGTAGATTGATTTATGTGGATAATGTCTTTTAGAAAATTTTGGAGGTTGGGCTAGGCATGGTGACTCACACCTGTAATCCCAGCACTTTGGGAGGCAGATGCCGGCAGATGCCTTGAGCTCAGGATTTCGAGATCAGCCTGGGTAACATAGCAAGACGCAACTCTACAAAGAAAAAATGCAAAAATTAGCCAATTATGGTGGCACACGCCTGTAGTCCCAGCTACTTGGGAGGCTGAGGTGCGAGGATTGCTTGAGTTCATGAGGCGAAGGTTGCAGTGAGCCAAGATGGAGCCATTACACCTCAACCTGGGTAATAGAATGAGACTCTGTTGAAGGAAGAAAGAATGAAAGAAAGAAGAAAGGAAAGGAAAGAAAGAGAAAGAAGAAAGGAAGGAAGGAAGGAGGAAGGGAGGAAGGAAGGAAGGAAGGAAGGAAGGAAGGAAGGAAGGAAGGAAGGAAGGAAGGAAGGAAGGAAGGATCATTGAGTTTTGTTTGTTTTATGAAAGGGCAGACTTTCCCCATCAGGGCTATAAGAATGGAAAAGATTTGGCAGAGAGGTATGAGCTGGAGGGCAGGGCCTGGGTGAGGTCAGATTCCTAGGTTCAGACTCTTTCTTTACATCACTGAATGATTTTGCAAGTCCTGCCCCTCTGGGCCTCAGTTTCCCCCATCTGAAAGGCCTGGGCCTAGACCCATTTGTACATCACAGCCTCAGTGACTGCCATGGAGGCTCAATGGTCACCCTCTGATGTGTCTGCTCAAGGGAGGCTAAAGTCTTGGCCGGCTCCCTCCTTCTCCCCCAGGGCTGGGCCTGTGAAGTGGGGGAGCAGGTGCTGCTAAGAAGGGTCAAAAAGAGACCAGTCTTCTCTGCTCCTGAGCCAACTGCTTCACCCCTGCTCGCTGTCCCTGTGGCTCTCTGTGCCTTCCAAGGGGTCTCATGAAATCCAAGTGCCAATGGGAGGGAGGGGTTGAGCAAGGCTACTGCCTGTTTTGTACAAGATGCACTGACAAGCCGTGGGTGAGGGATGGGGAAGGGTCCTGCCTCAGCCTCCTTGGATTCAGGAGCCCTTGGCTTCTGCTTCCCCTAGCCATGACCCACAGCCTTCCTGGCTTCATCTCCAAAGCCCAGTGCATGACTTCATTCCTCTGGGATAGTTTCCTCAGGTGTAAAATGAGATACACAAACCTGTCTTCCCAGGCTGTTGGAAAGAATTAGAAATTAGATACTGGATGTAAAATTCCTTCATAATGCAGACAGTAGGGCTTCATAAATGCTGCTTTTCTTCACACTCACAGCCACTCTTGGCCCCATATGGGTCAGCAGGCCAGGGGCCGAGGAGATACCTCTCTCCTGGGTCTGGAGAGCCACTAGCCTACCCTGTATGGCCAGGCTAAAGGGGAGAGCAGCTTGAGAGGACCTGGGCCGGGGGAGAGGTAGACTGGAGCCTGGCCAGACCTTTACCCAAGCCCATGCTCTGACTTAAACCCCTCCCACCTTTTTTCAAGCTCGGGGGTGGGAGAGAGCAAACCCTTATTCTCATTCCTCCCCAGAGACTTCCCCACATGTCACCTGATGGTAGGCCAAACAGATGTGTGAGTAATATCTGAATTGGGACCCTTGTAAGAGTGAAAAGGGCACAATTTGTAATGTATATACTGGTCCGCTAGTGTATATCAGCCAGTCTCAGCAAACCAATGTGTGCCATTGCTCCAGCTCATAATTACCCATCCTAGCCACAGGCTCACTGGACCCTCAGAACATTCTGAGGCAGCCATGCATGGGCTAGCTTGTGGCCCATTTTACAGATTTGAAATTAGAACTTTCCAGAGTCTGTACTGCTGCTGGACAGAAAACCAGTTACTGATGATCTAAGCCACAGATCACAAGTGACACTGTGGCACTTGCCTTTCCCTCCTGCTCACCCAAACCTCCCCATTTCACTTTCATCTTAAGGAAAGGAGGGGAGTTGACGACCACTCCTAGCCTTAAGGTCCATACAGCCTGACTCTGTCCCTGGTGTCACTCATTAGCCCTGTGACTTTGAGTAAGTAACTTAGCTTTCTTGTCCCTCAGCTTCCTCATCTGTAGAATGAGAGTAACAACACCTGCCTCTCCAGGTTGAGAAAATAGGACATCTAGTTCAGGACCTTGCACATTTTAGGTGCTCAATAAATATTGATAGATTGAATAATTGGACTAATGGTGGCGTGGGCAACTCACAGTCAGTGAATAAATGTTAACTGAGCACTTACTAAGTGCCAGGCCCTTTGTGCTAGATGTTTTCTATGCTCCATCTTCCTGAATTCCTCACATTCCTTCAGGACATGAGATTATTATCCCCTAAGGTCGCACAGCAAAGAAGAAGCAGCGGGGTGGGCTATCAGTGTCCAGACGCGTGGCTGGCCTCCCTCGTGGCCCAACTGTGGAAAGGGAGTCCCAGAGAGGGCAGGTCACTTGCCCAAGGTCACGCAGGAGACCGAGGGTTTCCGTCGCGAACCCCCTCCCCATTCGCTCGGGGCCCTCCAATCCGCAGCTCTGCGTGCGGGGGCGCGCGCATCCCCCAGCCGTCCGTCCGTCAGCCGGTCTGTCTGGGTGTCTACGCGGGTGCAGCCGTGCACCCTTCCTTAGCCTCGGGCGCTGCGCAGGGAGAGACAAGGCGTTTGCAGCGCCTTGCCCGCGCTCCACGACCGCAGCCGCCAGACGGCAACGCCTGCGTCCGTGCCCGCCCCAGCCGGTGCGCGGGAGCCGCGGGGGCAAAGGCGCAGCGGCCCGCGGACCATCTCTTGCGCGCTCGCTCTCTGCACTCTGCTCCGGAGCAGCTGAGCTGCCAAGCCCCAGCCACCCGCCCTCCAAGATGAAGAAGCTCCAGAGAGCTCACCTCCGAAAGGTAAGGCACCCGGGCGGGGGGTGCGGGGGCGCACCTGGAGGAGAGCTGGAGAGACCCACCCCCATCGAGGCCCCTGGGGAGGATCTGAGGGCGCACCCAGACCGGCTTCGGGCTCTGGGGAAAGCCGGGCTCAGCTGGATTACAGGGAAGGTCAGGGTCACGGTCTGCGCCCCACCTCTGCCCCCGCCATCTGGGGTTCGGGGTGTAATATGAGGGGAGCCCTGGTTCACTGGGCCAGGCCTGTGAACAGGTGTCTGCAGCCCCGGGAGGCGCGTGGTGGGGGTTGCCAAGGCCAGGCACCCACTTCCCCCTAGTCCCAATTCCACCCAGCTGCTCCCCACCAGGGGCTGATGGCCGGGTGTGAGGGGTATTGGAATACCTGAGCATTGGGCTGGACTCATTTGAGCTTGGGGAGGTGGGGGTATGAACCTGGCGGTCATCCATGCTGAAGCAGGATCCCTGAGCCTGCAGAGGACTCTCCTCTTTCCTGCCTGCTCCTTCCCTGCTGGCATATCACCTGCTCCCTCCCCGCCCCCTGGGCTTTCCTGCTGAGACCCCAGGCCGCCCCTCAGCAGGGCTGAAGGGAGGCAAAGACAGGGAGGGGCTACAGGAGGCCCCAGGATATGGGCAATGAAGATGGAAGCTGGGTTAGGAGAGCAGCCAGGGACCCAGACCTCAGGCTCTTCCCACCTTACCTGGTGGTGTTGGACCTCTCAGCCAAGCTGTCATCCTGTGGGAAGGAGGAATATTGGGGGAAGTTTTCTGGCTTATGCCTGTCCTAACCAAGGAGTCAAATCTCCTGAGTACTATTTCTGCAGCTCCCACTTGCCTGGTGACCTAGGAGAAGTTCATTCTCTAACCTGAACCTCGAAGTCAGCACCAAAGCAGGCCCCACTGGCTGTGTGATGGGTGGGGAAGAATTCAAAAGAGCTGGTAGATGTGAGAAGACTGTTCTCAGGGGCTGGTGTTATCAACCACCCTACACACACACACACACACACACACACACATTCATTCATTCATTCATTCATTTAAGTTCTCTGCCCTCAGGCAGCTGGGCTTGGAATCACTGTGGTGTGGTTTTTTTTATTCCCTGACATCAGTGACTTCTTGGGACCATTTGGGGGTCTCTTGGGTCCTGTTTCCATTCCTTTCCACTCTCCTTCTCTTCCTTCTCCGCCCTCCCTCCCCACAAGAAGCCCTGTCCCTCTCTGCCACAGGGCCGCACATTAGGTAAATAGCCATATTTTGCTCAGCGCTTGTTGGGTGCTGGGCTGGAGGGTTAGCAAGCTTTATCTCATTAAATACTCCAATACTTCTGGGGGCTAGGTCTTAGTAGTCCCACTTTATAAATAAGGCAACTGAGGCACAGAGGGGTGAGAATGACTGCTCACCTGCAGGCAGGCTAAGCAACCTAGAACCAGCAGGGCAGAGCATTGGTTCTAGGTTGCTACCTCCTCTCAGGGTCCTCTCCCTTGGTCTCAAGCAGTGGGCAGAGAATGAGAAAATGCCAGGTTTCAGCAAAGGAGCGGCAGTGCTCAGCGATGAGCACTGGACTTGGAGTCAGGGCATCTAGGTCCAAGTCTTGCTCCGCCTTTAACTAGCTGTTTAACCTTGGGCTTATCTCTTCTCCCTGAAACTTGGTTTCCTAATCTGCACAATGATGAAGTTGGACTCCAGATTCCTATTTTCTCTGTCTGTCCTGAAGAGCCTTGCCTTGGGCAGTCTTGAGTCTCCCAGCCCTTGTTGTGGGTCCCTAAAGGTGAGCATGCAGGTCTAACAAACTCAGGTGTGTGTTCCTTCGTGCCCCTGGGGTAGCGAGTGGGAGATTCTGGAGTGGGAACCTCACACCCAGGCAGGAGTATGAAGCAACTCATTTAGCTTCCAACCCTGCCCCAGCTATTTGATTGTTTTCTTCCGTCTCCCAGCCAGTCCCTCCTTCCCTGTGCCAGCCTCCTGGGATTCACCCCATGATGGGGTTGGGGACTCCAGTTGGGCTCCTGATTGGCTCAGCTTTTGAGGACCCCATCTCCTGCCCCTGAAGCAGAAGCAGGCTTCCCTCTGATTGGGGGAGGAGGGGGACGAGCTTGCAGCATCCTGCTCTTGGAACTCTTGTCACCATGGAAACAGGGAACTGGACCGCTCCGTGAGCATGGAAAGGGCAGCTTCTCTGGAGGGATCAGAGGAGCCTCATTACTGGGACCTCCTGCTAACTGGCCTGAATGGTGCTGGGGGGCAGAGTGGGGTCTCAGGGTGATAGGCCTCCTCACCACCTGACACCAGGACCAGTGTCAACTGGCCGCCACCTCATCCCTCCCAGAGCTCACCTGGAAGTGAGAGGTTCCTGAAGGCTGATGCTCACCCACCTGGAGAGGCAGCCTCAGGGAAAGGGGCATCAGAGGGAAGGGGTGAGTTTCATGTAAGTCTGGGATCTGCCACTCCTGTCACCTCAGCATGTCCATGATCACAGCTGAAGAACTGCCAGGCATGTATTTGTTCCAACCCTTGAAGCCTAGTTACTTTAAAAACAGCTCTTCATGCTCTGTCATTGTCACTGTCACCCATCTTAATGCCTGGCTGTCCCTGTCACCATGGCCCCTGTGGCCAATAGCCAGCTTCAGGCAAAATCACTACTGTGGTCACCATCACTGAGGGTTTCCAAAGGGAGAATGCCCCATGGACCTCCCACTCACTTTGAAACATGAAAGGAGACCTTAGGGACAGCTGGCCTCCACTCCCCTCTGCCCATGTGTCTCTCCTCCAGGGACAGCAAGATTATGAATTTCTGAGACAGATCACACTTAAGTACCTTCTTCCTGCTCATGAGCCAACATTCATAAAATTCACCCAGACCTCAGGCTCTCCCACCTTGCCTGGGGGGTTGGACCTCCCAACCAAGCTGTCAGCGTGTGGGGAGGGGAAGTACTGGGGGGAAGCTTTCTGGCCGAAAAGTACCAGTCCTAACTGAAGAGTCAGATCTTCTTGGTTCTCAGTAGGCCCCATTTGAGCCACGGAGCATATGTGGACTCCCTCCCTCAGGGGAGCCCCAGGTCCCTCCGAGTCCTCTCCTTTCCATGCTGAGGGCTCCCAGCTTCTTCCTGTTGTCCTCCTTTAACCTCTTTTCCTGAACCCCCTCCAGTCTGGCCACCTGCCCTTTGGACATATCATCTGCATCTTTCTTAAAATACAGTGCCCGGAACGGAGTAGCCAAACTCCAGCACTGGTGGGTGAGGAGACCTGGCTTTTGCATCAGGAAGCCTTGGGCCCCAGACCTAACTCTTCCACTCACCAATCTGCTAGAGACCTTGGGTATGTCATGACGCCTCTTGGAGCCTCAGTTTTCCTCATGGTAAAAACGGAGCTTAGATGACTATTCAGCTCAAAGAGTTGTTCTGAGAATGAAATCAGGTGAGTGAGATGCCTAGCGCAGTAGGCACAGAGTAAGTTCTTGATCTACAGTAACTCTTGCTAAGATCATCGTCATCCTCATCAAAATAGAACCGTCCCTTGATTTGACCTCTGTGTTAGCCAAGCTAAACAGGGTAGCTTTGTTAGTGTCTTCGTACCCTTCCGGCTCAGTAAGTTTGTGGTCACCTAAAATTCTGAGCCTCTTGTTCATAAGACTGGGTTAGTCCAGTTAAGAGCGCTTGATTATCTGGACTGAGAGTGTCTTTTCATTTAGTCCTGTTTAAGTCCAGAGTTTTGTCTTGAGGTTGCATTTCTAGCCTGGCTTCAGTGTTCTCCCCCGCCTCTTTGGTCTCTCTCACTGGCAGCCTGTCACCCCAGACCTGCTGATGACCCCCAGTGACCAGGGTGATGTCGACCTGGACATGGACTTTGCTGCAGACAGGGGGAACTGGACTGGCAAGCTGGACTTCCTGCTGTCCTGCATTGGCTACTGTGTGGGCCTGGGGAACGTCTGGCGCTTCCCCTATCGAGCCTACACCAACGGAGGAGGTATGGGTCTGAGGTCCTGTTGGGGGTGTCTGGGGTGATGGGCCAAGGCCCTAGGGTAGAATGAGCTTTTTGGTGGCCTCAGCCACTGTCTCCTAGGCGACCTTGGGCAGAATTCATTGAAAGCAGTTTATAGTAACCTGGGGCTGGGAGGAGGGAGTCCACCCCATCTTGTCCTTCATATCACCCAGGCCCTCCCTTCCTCCCTCTCATCCCCGGGAAGGGTACCCACAGGGTTCCCTCTCTAAGGCTGGCCACGCCTGCACAGTGAGCAGAGGGATCTTCCTCTGCTTTGTGATAAAGAGCTGTATCTGCCTGCCACGATCACTGATCACTGCGCTTTCAGTGCTCTCCCCACCCCCTCCTCCCCCACCTCCTCCTGAGCCGTGCTCCATCAATCATTCCCTCTCTTGAGTCTCCAATCTTTCCTCCTCTCTTGGTTCCTTCCATTCAGGCTGCAAACACAAAGTCTCTCTCATCTTAAACAAATTTCCTTTTGTCCCTGCTTCTCCATCAAGTGACTATTCCAAGTCTCATTAGCAAAAGCTAAGGCTGAGCGCTTACCACCTGTCAGGCCCTGGGCTTGGCGCTTTCTGCACCCATCTCATTTACCCCCAGTGATGACCCTACTGGGTCGGCACCGTGGATATGATGAGGTAGCTGGAACTTGAAGAGACCGACGTCCTTGCCCAAGGTCACAGGGTGGCAGAGCCAACATTCCAACCCAGGACTGTCTCCTCCCCAGCCAGTGTATTCTCACCAATACTCTGTACCGCCTCCTGTCTCTAGCAAACTCTTGAAGGAAGCATATATTGAGAAAGTGAGAGAAATCCAAATAAAGCTAGATGAAGCAAAGAAAGGATAAATTTACATGACTAGGCTGTGTTGGACTAGAGCTAGCCTCTGAAGCTCCAGGACCTTGATGCTACCCCCGGTGTCTCTCGGCAAGCCCTCTCCCCATGTCCTTACTCTTCCTCTCTGTGTGCTGGCCTAATTTTGTCCTGAGACAGGCTTCCTCTCTGCAGTTGGTGGGGGCAGGCCTCGGCGGGAGGTGGCCACGGACAACTCTGTGATGACTTCATCCTCAAATGGGTTTAGCAACCCGAGAGCTTTGCAGAACTGCTCTGTCTGAATGAATCTGTACAGAATTGGAGGGAAGGTCTCTTATGGGCCTGGCTTTGGCTAGAAGCCCACTGGGGAAGGTGGAGAGGGCGATGAACTCCCTCCTCCCAGCCTCAGGTTACTATAAACCACTTCCAACTAGTTCTGCCCAAGGTCGCCGAGGAGGGGGTTGGTCGATGTGACTGGCAGCCCTTCCAGAGCCATATGGTGGTGGGCAGTTCTCTAAAGAAGTGACTGCCAATATGAGAATCAAAGGGGAAGGGCTGTTGGGCCCATGGAACCACAGGTGGCAGTCACAAGTGTCTGAGGCGGCATGGTAGGGAGGAGCAGGCAGATAGAGTGGAGCCAGATTCTGAAGGGTGCTGGTTTCTGTACTGAGGAACCTGCACTTTCTTCAGTAGAAAATTCACACATTCACTCCCTCAGCAGGCGTTTCTCAGTGTCTGCTCTGAGCCCAGCACTGTTCTGGGCACTGGGGCTCCAGAGGTGAGTAAACCCCTGCCGGCCACTCTGGCCCTCCGGAGTCTGGTGTAGAAGAGAAAAGAAGTGTCCCATCAGGTGTGAGCAGGGGGTCTGCAGGCCAGGGGAGGGGCGGGCTAGAGCTGGGCTTTTGTGGGGGCTGCCCCCAAGACACTTGCTGACCACCCCACTCCTGGCAGGTGCCTTCCTTGTGCCCTACTTCCTCATGCTGGCCATCTGTGGCATCCCCCTCTTCTTCCTGGAGCTCTCTCTGGGCCAGTTCTCCAGCCTAGGGCCCCTGGCCGTCTGGAAAATCAGCCCCCTCTTCAAAGGTGAGGCCTCAGGGAGGGAAGGGGCTCCGGGTCTGGGGGAGGCAGAGAGGTGGTCCCCGGAACCCCTGCAAGCTCCAGGCAGAGAGAGAAATGAAACCCAGAAAGCTGCCAGCTCCCCGGAGGCCACCCCACCCGGCTGACAGAGGGCGTGGCCAGGGCAGCCCAGCAGTCTCTCCCCACACCAGGCGCCGGCGCAGCCATGCTGCTCATCGTGGGCCTGGTGGCCATCTACTACAATATGATCATCGCCTACGTGCTCTTCTACCTCTTCGCCTCCCTCACCAGCGACCTGCCCTGGGAGCACTGTGGCAACTGGTGGAACACAGAGCTCTGCCTGGAGCACAGAGGCTCCAAGGACGGCAATGGGGCCCTGCCCCTCAACCTCACCTACACCGTCAGCCCCAGCGAGGAGTACTGGAGGTCAGGCAGCTGCTGTTCCCGCAGCATCTGAGGGGACCCTGCGCCACTGAGGGTAGCCAGAGGGCATTCCTGGGGGCTCAGCGTGCACCGACAAGATGAGCCAGATTCTGAAGGGTGAGCTCATCTTGGCGGTCCATGCTGAACGCATGTGCTGGTGGCAGGTGGACCCTGGCTTTTAATCCCAGCTCTCCACCTGACCAGCTATGTGACTGTAAACTATTTATTTGGTTTCTGTTGCTTTATCTGTAGCATGGGGGCAATAATACTAGGTATCTCAGAAAGGTTGTTGTGGGGATTAAAGGAAAGGAAGCATATATAAATACATCATGCAGTCCAGTCTGGTGCTGGACTGGATGGTAAGTGCTCAATAAATACTAGCTGAGAATGATGATGATGATGATGATGATGATGACGCTGACACTAATAGTAACATTTTGGAGTCTCAGTTTCCTCCTCTGTAACAGGGTTTGGTAACAGTACCTGCTTCATAAGATGTTATCCAGTCAGTCATTTACCCACTCATTCATTTTTTTGTTTTTTGAGACAAGAGTCTTGTTCTGTCACCCAGGCTGGAGTGCAGTGGTGCAATCTCAGCTCACTGCAACCTCCACCTCCTGGGTTCAAGCAGTTCTCCTACCTCAGCCTCCTGAGTAGCTGGGACTACAGGTGCATACAGCCACAACCAGCTAATTTTTGTATTTTTAGTAGAGATGGGATTTCACCATGTTGGCCAGGATGGTCTCGATCTCTTGACCTTGTAATCCATCTGCCTCGGCCTCCCAAAGTGGTGGGGTTAGAGGTGTGAGCCACCTCTCCCAGCCCATTCATTCTTTTAATTAATATTTATTGAGCAACTGCTATATCATAGGTAAAGCACTTAGCATAAGGCCAGGACCATACATAGTAAGGACAATCTCAGACTCGTCTAACAGAGATAGAACTATAATAGAGTAAAGGATTGCCATCAGAATTAAACAACATAGAGCAGGTGAAATCATTATCACAGTGCCAGGCACATGGTGGGTCCTTCTGGGAATGGTGTGTGTCAGAAAAACGTTGCACTCACCAGCCTATCCCAATGCCCCACTTTATGATCAAGAAAACAAAACCTTGTCACTGCATTCTTTAAAAAAAAAAAAAAAAAAGAAAGCCCAGAGGTTTGCTCAATATTGCTCAGTAATTAGTGACAGAGGGAGTAATGACACTAAGGACTACTGAGTCCTGATCCTGTTCTGGAACATTCTAGAATGTTCCAGAGAACACAGACCCTATATCCCCATCCCCTCACCTACAAAGGACTGCTGTTAGGAGATTTCTCCCAGATAGGCTCCGTGTCTTGAAAGGTTTTGGTCTTTAACCTGCATGTAGTACACACAGTTCATTCATTTGTCCACTTCAAGTCCATTTGAAGTGTCCACACCTGCTGAAGAGTTGATCGAACCAGTGGGAAAGGATTGGCCTGGGTTTGCAGCTTAAAGCCAAAGGATTTGATACAATCACTAGCAGCTGCCAGGGCTCTCCATGGCCATGTCACAGCCCACTGCATGGGTCAGGATGCAGGCAGGAGGCAGCTGGATTGTCAGAGGGTTTCACTGAAGGGAGTTTAGTGAAGGGACTTTTCAAAGGGTCACGGAAGCCACAGGGAAAAATGAAGCATCAGTGACTAGCAACAGGGAGAGTTGTCACCACCCGTGAACCTAAGAGGCAAATGGAAGGGAACCAGGAGAGAATCAGAGCCTTGGAAGAGAGGCTGCCCAAAGAGCACAGTCATGGCCAGGCCCCGGATGGTGTGTGTGTGTGTGTGTGTGTGTGTGTGTGTGTGTGTGTGTGTCCCTGTGGGCTGGACATGGCTTGACTCGACGTCTTTGGAGCCTGGTGGGGTGACCAGGGGACACTGAGACCTTTGTCTTCCACAGCCGCTATGTCCTCCACATCCAAGGCAGCCAGGGCATTGGCAGCCCTGGGGAGATCCGCTGGAACCTCTGCCTATGCCTGCTGCTGGCCTGGGTCATCGTGTTCCTCTGTATCCTCAAGGGTGTGAAGTCTTCAGGCAAGGTGAAGCCTTGTGAGGGGCTGAATGGGATGAGGCCTTCCTGGAGAAGGCAGGGCATGGCCTGAGCATGAGAAGGTGTTGAGACTTCAGCTGGGAAGAGGGGAAGGGAGAGAGCATGGAGACTGGGGATGAGTGCTGCCTGAACAGAGTGAAGGTGAGGGCGCACAGGGGCTCAGCTGCTTTACTAGATGGAAGCTCACCATGGCAGGGTCTACATTCAGATGTATCCCGACCCAGTGCTTGGCATTTTGAATGAACTCAGCAAGAGTTTGTTGAACGCTTGGAGTACGAGTACATGAGTCAGGCTCTTTGAGATGCAGGTGACTAGAACCCAATTATCACACTCAGTTGGAAAGTCCAGAGGGTGTGTTTTAGGTGCAACCGAGTCCAGGGCGTTCAATAAGCATCATCAGGAAGCTGGTTCTCTGGGTCTCTCAGTAATGCTTCCTTCTAGGTTGGCTTTGTTCTTCTTGAGGTCACCCTAGCAGCTCTAAGTGTACATCTAAGCTTGGTAAAGGGTTGTCTTTCCCCAGTTTGCAAATATCCTAGAATTGAGTCTCATTGGATGAGCAGGGCTGTGCATCCATCCCTGAATTAATCCTTGTGGCTGGGAGGATGGAGTGCTCTGCTTGGCTGGGCGTGGGTCACATATCCACCCCTAGAGCTGGGAATGGAGTCAGTTCCATGGTAGGAAAGGCAGGGGACTGTTATCTGAAAAGGCAAACTAGAGACTGGAAGACAAAAACCAAGGATGTCTACTTTAGGTGATGGAGGGGTGGAAAGGATAATAAAGCCATTTTGAAAAAACTCAGAGAACTTCAGGATGGTTTGCTCTATCATTGATAAATCAGAACTTGTCTTCTCTGCAAGGCGCAGATGATATAAGTATGATTTACAAGGAACAGAGCCATTCAAGACAAAAAAGACAGGGTAGAAACCTTATAGAAAGAGAGGAGAGCTTATGGTCAAAGCCAAGGCAGTGAGGATGTTGAGACCTGATGGTGTTTGCTGAAGGGGTGGCTGGAGGTTTGGGAAAAGGAGAGAGGGCGGAATGAGTTTGGGAATGTTGCATGTCTGAGGATGATGCCTTGTGGGTTTGTAAGGGCAGGTAGTGGACACGGGGAGGAGGAGGCTTTTATAACCAACAATGGCGGCCTGGACCAGGGGCTGCAGTGGAGATGGCCCTCAGAAGCAAGGTGATGGTGCTTTGCTGATGCTGGGTGTGTGAAGGGAAGAGGGAGCAAAAGAGAAGCCTCATGGATGGAGGCCAGTTCCTGGCTTGGGCTACCCAAAGGCTGGGGAGGCAAGTGACACAGATGAATTTACAGGGAGTGGCACAGAGAGAAGGTCCCTGGTACCATTGGCTCCTCACATACTATCTCTCAGGTGGTGTATTTCACGGCCACGTTCCCCTACCTCATCCTGCTCATGCTGCTGGTCCGCGGAGTCACCCTCCCAGGGGCCTGGAAGGGCATCCAGTTCTATCTCACCCCCCAGTTCCATCACCTGTTGTCTTCCAAGGTGAGCCCCTCAGGGTGGGATGCAGGTGGGGATCAGGCCTGAGCTGGAGAGTGGAAAGAGGGCTCCCCGGGATGCCCCAGTACCAGGCACTCCACTCAGCCCTTCTTGTGTCTTTTTTATTACTTATTTTTCTATTTTTAAATTGATAGGTAAAATGTTCTCTATTTATCATGTACAACGTGATGTTTTGAAGCATATGTACTTGGGGGAACTGTGAAATCCAGCTAATTAGCATATGCATTATCTCACATAATTATCATTTTTGTGGTGAGAACACTTAACATCCACTGTCTTAGCATTCTCCAAAAATACAATATAGTGTCATCAGCTGCATATTATACTTCATTTATTATCCTTAACAATCCTGTAAACACTATCCTCATTTTACAGAGGAGTAAACTGAGTCCGGAAAGAATTTTTAATAAGCTTAAGGTCATACAGCTAGGGGATCACAGAACAGGGATCCCAGCCCAGATCTGTGTGACTGTAAAACCCAAGGTGGGCATTAGTGACGATGGTGATAACGATGCTACTGACAGCCAAGGTTAATATGTATTGACTGATGACTGTGCCTGACCGTGCCCGAGTGTTTTGCATGCATGTAGTGATTTAATCCGTGCTCCTCCCATGAATTAGGCACTATTTGTATCCCCTGATTACAGACGGGGATCCTGCAGTTTAGAGGGGCGGCCTGGCTTGCTCAGGCTGCCCAGCTAGAAAGTGCTTGTGAAGCTGGGGTCCAAATCCAGGTCCCAGGACTCCAGAAAGAAAGTGAAGGTGTTGTGCAGGCTTATTGCCAGTACACATCCCCTGAACGCTTTCCGTTAGGCTCTATGTCCTTCAGAACTGGATCGAGCTTAGAGATCATCTTCTAAATCCTGGGTGGGAAACTGAGGCCTGCAGAGGGGAAGGGGCTTGCTCACATCCCACCGTGTAAGTGTTGGGGCAGGCTTTGCTCGTGGTCCATGTCACTTGTGAATGAGGCTCGTGACCATGCCATCCCTGGACCTGTCACAATGTCTTCATTCACCACCTTCCTTCTCTGTTCTTGACCCTCTGCACACCCTCCCTTTCCATCCTCCCGGCACAGGTGTGGATTGAAGCTGCTCTTCAGATCTTCTATTCCCTGGGTGTGGGCTTCGGGGGGCTCCTCACCTTTGCCTCCTACAACACGTTTCACCAGAACATCTATAGGTCAGTGCCCCACAGCCTCCCAGACCCAGGGGTCCAAAGCAGGGAGGAGAGTGGCTGGCCAGGGAGGGCCTCACAGGCTGAAGGGAAGGCCCACTCACCCTGGCCCACACCTGGACTTCTTCTGGTAGAGACACTTTCATCGTCACTCTGGGCAACGCCATCACCAGCATCCTGGCTGGCTTTGCCATCTTCTCCGTGCTGGGCTACATGTCTCAGGAGCTGGGCGTGCCTGTGGACCAAGTAGCCAAAGCAGGTGGGCAGGCTGCCAGGCCTCGGTGGGGTGAGCGTGTGTGTCGGGCAGAGCTGGGGCTGGGCTGGTGGACCAGCAAGATTGTGGATGGGGGCCAGGTGTGGTGGCTCACGCTTGTAATCCCAACACTTTGAGAGGCTGAGATGGACAGATCCCTTGAGGTAAGGAGTTCAAGACCAGCCTGGTCAACATGGTGAATCCCCATCATATTAAAAATACAAAAATTAGCCAGGTATGGTGGCACATGCCTGTAATCCCAGCTACTCAGGAGTCTGAGGCAGAAGAATCGATTGAACTCGGGAGGTGGAGGTTGCAGTAAGCTAAGTTCGGGTCACTGCACTCCAGACCGGGCAACAGAGCAAGACTCCATCTCAAAAAAAAAAAAAAAAGATTGTGGATGGATATGTCGTGTGTGTACATATGCACATATGTACATGCAAAGGAACATGGCCTAGCTGGTCTCTGGCAGTCCATGTGCAAGGGGCTGGGTGAGCAAATGAGTGTGCATTAGCCCATGTCTGGAGGTAAATGAGTTTCTGTGCAAGATTGTCTTGTTTTGTGCCTTGGTTGTACAAATAAGTTATATAAGTGTGTTGAGGTGTCTATGTGCAAGTGAAAAGGGTAAGAATAATCTTGTGAATCACTGTGTCTTGTGCCAGTGGATGCATGTAAGTGTGTGTGTTAGTGGGATTATTTGTACCAATAATTGTGCGCATACGTTTATTTCAATGAGGTTTTATATTGGGGTCTTGTGTTTGTTTATTCATGTACTAATTAACTGATTGATTCTATCAGCCTATGTTTATTGAGCACCTACAATGTGCTGGCCTATGTCCTGGGAGTTAAGGAAGTATCAGGGGTGCATTTAAGTGATCATCTCTGGGTTAGGCTAAGCAAGTGGTCCAAATGGGTGTAAGTAGCCGTGTGTGTCTGAGTGTACATATGGGAGCCCACTGCATGCCCCAAGCTGCTGACCCCATGTGCCCTTGGCCCAGGCCCTGGCCTGGCCTTTGTCGTTTACCCGCAGGCCATGACCATGCTGCCTCTGTCGCCCTTCTGGTCCTTCCTCTTCTTCTTCATGCTTCTGACTCTCGGCCTGGACAGCCAGGTGAGCCTCATCTATGGCAGCAGGTATCGTGTGTGTGCGTGTGTGTGAGTGTGTGTGTGGGGGGGGTAGAAATCTGACCCCCAGCCCCTCCTCTTGCCCCAGTTTGCTTTTCTGGAGACCATTGTGACAGCTGTGACGGATGAGTTCCCGTACTACCTGCGGCCTAAGAAGGCGGTGTTCTCAGGGCTCATCTGCATGGCTATGTACCTGATGGGGCTGATCCTCACCACTGATGTGAGTGGCGCTGCATCGAGGATGGCAGGTGGGCGGGACAAGGGCAGATGCCTGCAGCAAGATCTCTGGCCCGACAGAGCAGTCCCTGGGCCACCTCTGTCTTCCTCTTTTTGAGGAACCTAGACCCTCCCGGGCCCATCTCCCAAGGGAAGCAGCTTGGCCTTGTGACCCAGAGTCCTGGCTTTGGAAACTTAGTCTGCAAGACATGGGTTCAAACCTCACTCCTGCACCTGCTGAGGGGGCTTCAGGATAAATGACTTCCCCTCCCTGAGCCTGTTTTTCCTCATCAGTGAAAGGAGGTTTCTATAATAGACGGCTGTCATGGGACTCAGATAAGACGAGGCCTAGAAGGGCTGAGCTGGCAGCCAGCTGTCGCCCTGTCATCTTCTGTTCCCAGCCAGCATGGCTGCTTCCTGCTCACTTCTTGCCAAGAGAAGGGGCTGCAGCAGAGAGCGAGGCCCGAGGAGGGGACACCAGAGCTGTGCTTGTGTTTTAGGGGGGCATGTACTGGCTGGTTCTTTTGGATGACTACAGCGCCAGCTTTGGGCTGATGGTGGTGGTGATTACCACATGCCTCGCCGTGACGCGGGTGTATGGTGAGAAGGGCCATGGGAGGCGGGGTGGAGGCTCTCCGCAGTGGGAGAACGGGCGTCTACCCTGGGGGCCCCCAGTACCTGAGTCCCTGGTCCTCAGGGCCAGGGTTTCCAGCGGGGGCAGTTGGGGTAGAGGAGGGGCTGCTGGCGCTTATGGGGCCTGAGGGTGGGGCCATTCCTCCTCCCTTTCCTGTGCAGGCATTCAGAGGTTCTGCCGAGACATCCACATGATGCTGGGCTTCAAGCCGGGCTTCTATTTCAGGGCCTGCTGGCTGTTCCTGTCCCCAGCCACGCTCTTGGTAACTGCAGCGGGTGGGAGGGTGGCTGGGTGGGGCCCCAGAACTGAGACCAGGAGTCCTCTCTGCACATTGAGTCCGGTAGGGCCACCGTGGCCCACAGTGAAGGACTGTGGGGTGGGTACCAAAACCCTAGTCCATCCCCTCCCCCGATGACCCCAGCTTCTGTAGCTGTGCTGGGCGTGGCCCTAGTCCCACTGGTTAAATGGGTGGGTCTTTCCCAAGCCCCAGGGCCTCAGGATTGGAGCCTTTAGGTGTGCTTTCTGTCTTGGGGCTGGAGCAGCTCAGGGATTGGGATGCGTCAGAACTGGGCTCCTGTGGGTCTTGGTGTTGGGTTTAGCTCAAGCCTTGCAAAGGCTCCTGAGATGGACCACTCCAGTTCCGGTACAGTTTAGGATCCTGGGTAGCTCTGGGCTGGACTCTCTCAGGCCTTGGGCTGGCACTGGACTGGGCTACCTCAGGCCCTAAGATATTTTAGAGAAAAACCCGCAGTGATGCTGGGAGTCCCCACCCTGCAGGCCCTGCTGGTGTATAGCATCGTCAAGTACCAGCCCTCGGAGTATGGCAGCTACCGCTTCCCACCCTGGGCTGAGCTGCTGGGTATCCTGATGGGCCTGCTGTCCTGCCTCATGATCCCAGCTGGCATGCTGGTGGCTGTGCTCCGAGAAGAGGGCTCACTCTGGGAGGTGAGTCTGCCCACCCTGCCCACTCTCAGCCTTCCTGACCTGTGGTCTGATGCTGGGTCCCCCTGCTGGAACAGAAAACACCTGCACCCACACCTTATCCAGCTTCTTTGAGCCTGAGGAGACCCACCTGGGCTGAGGCAGATTCAGGGGCTGGAGTCCTGCCCTGTGGCACTTTGTACCACGTGAAGCTTTGGGGGAGGGGCTGGCACAAGCCAAAGACCACTGTTCACGAGGGACCAGCCCCAGGTCCCACCATGGGTTGGGTTGGGGGATCAGGTCTTGAACTCAGATCATCAGCCCAGAGCTTGCTTCTGGAACTCAGGGTCAAATGGCGACAGTGAAGGACCCCAGAGGGCAGGCTGTCACCCTTCTCCTGTGCCCAGGAGTCCTGTTGCGTCCCACTGGTGGCCCGGGATAGATGATGGTGTGAGTCCTGCCCATGCCTAGGGTTTGGGAGTGACTCAGATAAACATATAGAGTGCACTCATTTGCGATGGGGTCTGAGGCCTTGGAAGAGGGGAGTAGTGACCTTTGTGGGCCAGCAGAAGTGGTGTGCTCTGAGCCTCACTGCGCCCTCTCAACACTGAGCCCTGCACTTTTGCTGCTGCTGGTGTGGTGTCCTCCGGTGGCAAGAGGCCATCATGAAAGCAGCTTGAGTGAACGTGATGGACAGCATCCAGAGAGCATGGAGGCACCCACAACAAACACACCCCACCAGAAGTGGGCTGGAGCCAGCTAGTACTGATTCATGAGAGCTAATCCTTAAATATTCAGGAATGTGTGAGCTAGGCGTTAAACCATTGGTAGCTAGAAATTGGCAATGGTGGAGATGTTTACACCACAGAAAATGGCTACAAAGTGGGCCTCCCCTGCGCCCGATTTCTGCTTACCAGCACATTACTGCCTCCTCCACTTCCCCCGCATAGCTCCCACCCCTCAGCTGCCCCCACTACAAGGCTCCACCTGCAGGGGTTGCTTAGAGGCTGAAGTGGTTTATGCTTCCCCTACCCCACAGCCAGACCACTGGCGCAGCCCGACGTCTAGCCTCTGTACTGCCTCCAATTGCTGTGTGACTTGGGGCAACCTCCTTCCCCTCTCTGAACCTTAGGAGCCGCACCTCTGCTCCTTGCTTGAGAGCCAGGGTACCTGCAAAGGGAAGAAAGACTGGGGAGTTGCTCAGGGTGGAGGCTCCAGCTCCTAGGAAGCTCATGTTCCCCAAGCCTTGCTAATGAGCCACTGGGAATGCTGGGCTCCCCAGCAGTCACCACTGCCCTGCTGCCCTGCTCCCTGTCCCACAGCCAGGTGGAAGAGACATGTTTTGGGGACTCAAGAGGAGTGTTGAGCACTGCAGAGGAGGCATTCCCCAGCTCAGGAGTGCCAGCTTCAGAGGCCAAGGCTTCCAGCACTCACCCTAGGATCAGAATCCTGCCTCTGCCATTTGCCAGCCTTGTGGCCCTAAGCAAGTTACTGCACTGCCCTGAACCTCAGCTTCTCTGGCTTTATTTTTATTGTATTTATTCATTTTTTTGTTGAGACAGTCTTGCTCTGTCACCCAGGCTGGAGTGCAGTGGCACCATCTTGGCTCACTGCAACCTCTGCCTCGGGTTCAAGTGATTCTCCTGCCTCAGCCTCCCAAGTAGCCGGGATTATAGATGCCCACCACCACGCCCAGCTAATTTCTGTATTTTTAGTAGAGATGGGGTTTCCCCATGTTGGCCAGCTTGGTCTCGAACTCCTGGCCTCAAGTGATCCGCCCACCTCACCCTCCCAAAGTGCTGGGATTAAGTCTCTCTGTCTTTAAAATGGAGACAGTGATACCTACTTTTAGGGCTGCTATGAGAAGAAAAGGAGCTTATCAATATAGTCTGCACTGTGAAAGGCAGAAAAGCAAAATACTGTAAAGGTTCAGGATGGGGTCAGGATGGGTTCAAATCCCAGAGCCACCACTTCCCACCTGTGTGACCTTGGCCAACTTAACTGATCTCTCTGACCTTTAACATTCAGATAATAACAGTGCGGACAGATGATAAAAGTAGATACTCCTCTCATCAGGACACTGTAAAGATTAAATTAGCCAGAGCTCAGCACAGAGCTGGAGGGCAGTGGGTGCTCAGTTTTACACCAGGGTTCTCACAGGGGGTGATTTTGCCCTTGGGGGACATTTGGCAAGGTCTGGAGACATTGTTGGTTGTCACGGAGGGGAGAAGGGTACAAGGGGTCTCTGTCCCATCTTCCAGTGGACAGAGCTGAGGGATGCTGCTGAACAACCTTCTACGCACAGGACAGCCCCCACAACAGAGAATTCTCCAGACCAAAATGTCAGGGCCCTCAGGCAGAGAAACTTTGGTCTGAGCGCCCCAGTTTTCAGCTGGAAACAAATTGAAGTCCTTGTTCTCAGGCAGCTTATATTTTATCGTGAGAGACAGGCAATAAACAAATATACAAAGGTAATTTTTGCACTTAAAAAAAAAAAAGAAGAAGCCGGGCACCATGGCTCATGCCTGTAATCCCAGCACTTTGGGAGGCTGAGGTGGGCGGATCACAAGATCAGGAGTTCCAGATCAGCCTGACCGACATGGTGAAACCCTGTCTCTACTAAAAATACAAAAATTAGCCGGGTGTGTTGGCGCATGCCTGTAATCCCAGCTACTCAGGAGGCTGAGGTAGGAGAATTGCTTGAACCTGAGAAACAGAGGCAGAGGTTGCAGTGAGCAGAGATCACACCACTGCACTCCAGCCTGGGCAACAAGCAAGACTCTGTCTAAAAAAAAAAAAAAATAATACAGGAATAAATGAAGAATGGTACTTTGGCCAGGATGGTCAGAGAAGACCACTCTGAGGAGGTGACAGACCTGACTGAACCGACAGGGTGATCCACATAGGTATCTAGGGTGAGAACATTCCAGGCAGAAAAGCAACATGTGCAAAGGCCCTGGGGCAGGGGGCTGGCATATTTGAGAACACATGGAGGCCAGTGCTTCAGCTGGAGCAGAGCGGGTGAAGAGAACTGGTAGAGCTGATATCAGGAGGTAGACAGGGCCCAGGAGCTGGAGGCTCTGCTGCACACTTTGGATTTCATTCCCAGTGAGATGAGCAGCCTTTGGCAGGTTTCTGAGCTGTGGGGTAGCATGCTCTCAACACATCTTCCTAAGTATCACCGCTGTGAGCACTGAGCTGTGGGAGACCCCAGGTGAGGGCATCACACATGGTATCTCCCTTAGAACCTGCCCAGGGGGCTGCCCAAATGTTAACTGCCTCATTTCTTTAAGGACACAGGGGCTCTCTCTTCTCCCTGGCAGGGCAAGCAGAGGGCTTTGGGAATGTGGTTGAAGAAGAAGCAACTCTGTAATCTCCAGGCTTAGTCATCATCTTAGTCATCATCCTCCATCCATGGAAACTGGGGCTCCACGAGGGAAAGGTCAGAGGCAGAAAGAAGCAGGTCGGGGCTGGAAGGAACCAGGAAAGCCAGCAGCAAGCGCACCTCAGTTCTCCCGGTTCACAGCTGTTTTCCAAAAACCCCCAGCTCCTTAAGACTCAGCATTTAGGGGAAGCCTCCTGGATAGGCATTCAGACGCTCAGAGGAGGGGCCTGCCGCATAATTATAGCAACAGCCGCCACTTCCCAGGCCTTACTCTATTCCCACACCCTGCTAAGTGCGTCATCTCAGTGCCCTCACAACAACCCTATGACGGGACTGGGATTCCCAAGTTATAGATCAGGAAGCAGAGCACCAAAAGCCAAGGGGCATTGCCAAGAGCCATCCAGCTTGAAGTGGTAGAGCAGGAGTCTCACCTGAGCAGGTGGGTCCCTCCCCTGGTGGGGGACGTCATATTGCCCCCTCCCCCGGGGGGCTGTGGCCAGGACTCACCAGGTGATGATGTCATCAGGTCTCTGCTGGGTGCCTGGCCACAGCGAACCCTACACCATTACTGCCTGTTTCCTGTTTTCACTGCTGACGTTGCTTTGCTGCAGCGGCTCCAACAGGCCAGCCGGCCAGCCATGGACTGGGGGCCATCGCTGGAGGAGAACCGGACGGGCATGTATGTGGCCACACTGGCTGGGAGCCAGTCACCGAAGCCACTGATGGTGCACATGCGCAAGTACGGGGGCATCACCAGCTTTGAGAACACGGCCATTGAGGTGGACCGCGAGATCGCAGAGGAGGAGGAGTCCATGATGTGAGGGAGGAGGCAGGTGGGCAGGAGGCCCTGCCCAGGACCTCACAGTCCTGTCTTAGAAGCCTGCAAAGGCCAGCTGTGCCCTCTGGGATTCTGAGAGGCTGTGGGAGGTTGCCATAGGGATACCAGTCCACCAGTGGAAGTTTCTCCTGCAGCCTCTGCCTCTCCTGAAACCTCAGACAACCCCCTACACACACACAGACATACTCAGACCCATCAAAGCTGAGAATGATCCAGCTCAGCCCTACTTTGCAGATGGACATACTGAGACCAGGAGGGGAGGGACTTGCCCCAGGTCACGTGGCAGAGGGGACTTAACCCCACACCTCCTGACCAGCCAGCTCCCTTTCCCATGGGGCAGCTGGCACCACCTTCTCATCTCTTTTCAGGGCCTACACTCCTCCCTTTTTGGGGGAAGCCTGTCCCCACACACCTCAGCACAACCAGAATCTTGAGCTGGGCAGGGAGGGTCAGGGCCACAGAGGTTCTCAACGCTCCGAGGCCCTGGGGATCAAGGGTCAGTGAGTTAGATAGGGAGAAAGATCCCTTGGGGCTCCCGTGTGCCGGCCTCCTGAAGGAGGTGGGAGCTCAGGGCCCTGGAGGATGGGGAAGGTTTGCAGAGAGAGGAAGAAGAGGGCAGGGTGAGGAGGGGCTCTGGGCCAAAGGATGCTGAGCTGCCTGGGCAGAGACCAAGAGGGTTGGAGACACTGGTTTTACCAGATTACAGGAGGGTTCAAGCCAGAAGGAAAACTAACAGGGGGAGCCAGGGCTGGTGGGGTGGGCAGGGATTTGCATGATGAAGAATATCATTCCGGGTCTATGCACGGGGGATCGGAGGGGACAGGGTGGAGCGGGGAGGCCTGTGAAGAGTGGGAAAGAGGTGCTGGTGGCCTGAGCCAGAGTGCTGGGGCTGCGGGTGGGGAAAGGAGGCCCCAGCACTTCAAAGAAGGCCACCCCTTCACCCACTGGACCCCAAGCTGCACAAGCTGGGGAGGTAGGAAGGGTCACTGTTAGGGCCCAGGGCCCCTCTCTTCCCATCTCCCTTGTCCTGGTGGCCTTCAGTGTCTCCTCCAGTTCCAGGAGCTACAGGGAAGCTGGCCTTGGTTATTGGTGACAGGACAACCATGAGGCTAGGAAGCAGCTCACACACATGGCTGGCTATTCACAAGGTCACCCACCCTGCTCCAGGACATGGGCCCTGGGCCCAGCGTTGGGGTAGAGCCAGAGGGCAGAGGGTAGCCCTTGGTACCGTGAGTCCCTCAGGGAGGAGGGTGGGTGCAGAAATGCCTCAGCATGGCTCATGCACACAGCATTCTCCCTCCTGCAGGAGAGGGCTCCCCCATGCAAGTGTGGCAGGCCTCTGTGCCTGTTTCCGGCTTTGTCCCCCCATCCCCTTGTGTTCTGTTGGTTTATTGTTAATAAAATGAGGTCATGCTCCTCACCCTGTCTCCTTACTGCTGAGAGCCATGAGGTGGGCAGCATAGGGCTGTCCAGTGGATGGGGAGGAAGCAGGCTCTCCTGGCTTCTACCCTGGCTCTGACCTTCCCCTATGGCAGTGGGGGGCGGGGGTGGTGGGACTCAGAAAGGAAGAAAACTCCAGGCCCTTAGAGACTACTAAGGTTCCTTGTTATACAGACAGATCAACTGAGGCCCATGGAGGGAAGGAGACTTGCTCAAGGCCACCCAGTCAAACCAGGCAGAGCCTGGGGCAGCGGGGGCCCGCAAAGCAGACCCGGTGAGCATTCTCCTTACCCAGGCCCACCGCCTTCTTCCCTCTCCCATTCCTTGGCCCTGCCAGCAGGTGAAGGCTGGAGTTGAAGACCAGGACTAGGAGAAGCCAAGAGTTTCCCAGGCCGGAAGAGTCTCCGGGTTCCACCCACCCCCTGGCAGGGCCTTGTCATATAAAAGAGCCCCAGGGTCTTTCAAATGCAAGGCGCAGGTGTTTACAAAGGCTTTGATTGGGGGTGGAAAGGAAGGGCGGCTGCATATTTCAGATATTAATAAATTCCCCCTAACAAAGGCCCAGGCCCCCTCCCACTCCTCTTTGTTTGGGGCTCTGGGTGGGGGAAAAGAGATGAATTTGCTAATTTGCAAAGCGTGTGAGAATGGCCTTCAGAATTCAGGTGCTTCTTCCCACGGGGCAGGCTCCATTCAGCCCTGCTGGCAGCGTCCTGGTCCTGAGCCTTCTCTGCATGCCCTGTCTGGGGAGGCACGGGCAAGGGGCCATGGACTTTCAAATATTCCTCACCAGGCTCTCAGCTGAAGCCAGATGTCCTGGAGCAGGAATGGAGCATCTTGGGAGTCCAGGCTTCCCTTCTCCGCAGATTCCAAGTGTGAGGTTGGAGGGTTCTAGGATTTCGTGGGTCCCACCAGCTTTGCTTCCTCCTGCCCCCTCTACCCCTGCCCCACTCTTGCCACTGGGCCTGCGGTCCCTGTCCTGCCCCCCTGACCCAGTCTCCCAGTTTCTCTTGCTTTTTCCATTTCCCCTGCTCTCAGACAGCTTTTCCTGCCACCCCACCTTCTCCCTCCGTCGCCGGCAACATCTCCCAACTGCCCTGTCCTGATCCCTGTATTGACTTTCGGTCTCCCTGGCTCAGAATTGCCACCAGCCTGACCCTGATTACAGTGGAAGCTGACTGGGAAACAGGGAGCCCACAGCTCAGAGGAAACATCAGCCCTGTCTGGAGTAGGATCCCAGCCTGCTACCCCTGAATACCCTACCTGGCAGCAAACCCACATGCCTATAGGGCCAGGCAGGAACCTGGGTGAGCAAAGCTGTTGGTTTGAGCGGAAGAATATATGCAACTGACCCTCAGCAATTGCTGGAGAGACAAGAGGGAGTGGTGAGGACTGTGGCCAACTAGAGAAGAAAGCACACCTAGCTTAAGAGGGAGGCCACCTCTCAGAAGTACGGGCCCAGGCTGCCAGATCTCTCTGGAATCCCAATGGGTGACAGCTGGAAATTTGGATTTTTTTATGAGCAATGTCCCAATGTGCAATGTGGATGACTGATTTAGAAGTTGTAAGAGGCCAGGCATGGTGGCTCACGCCTGTAATCCCAGCACTTTGGGAGGCCCAGGCGGGCAGATCACCTGACGTCAGGAGTTCGAGACCACCCTGACCAACATGGAGAGAACCCTGTCTCTACTAAAAATACAAAATTAGCTGGGAGTGGTGGCTCATGCCTGTAATCCCAGCTACTCAGGAGGCTGAGGCAGAAGAATCAACTGAACCCCGGAGACTGAAGTTGTGATGAGCCAAGATCACCCCATTGCACTCCAGCCTGGACAACAAAAAGCAAAACTCCATCTCAAAAAAAAAAAAAAAAAAAAAGGTAGGCCGTGGCTCATGCCTATAATCCCAGCACTTTGGGAGGCTGAGGCGAGTGGATCACGAGGTCAAGAGATCGAGACCATCCTGGTCAACAAGGTGAAACCCCGTCTCTACTAAAAATACAAAAATTAGCTGGGCATAGTGGCGCGTGCCTGTAGTCCCAGCTACTCGGGAGGCTGAGGCAGTAGCTGGGACTACAGGCACTTGAACTCAGAAGGCAGAGGTTGTGGTGAGCTGAGATCGTGCCATTGCACTCCAGTCTGGGTAACAACAGCGAAACTCTGTCTCAAAAAAAAAAAAATTGTAAGCACGGCGAAATCAGGGCCTCCTGTCGGCCTCTCTGCAGCTGACTACTCTGCAATTTCAGGGGATGAGCAGCCCAGAGGGGTTGCCAGGTCCCACGGGGAGAATGTTCCAGAGCTGAGGTCAAGCCCCAGGGCTCTCCACCCTCACAGCCCTCTACATCCTGTCTCTTCTGATCTGTGTGTGTGTGGACCCTTGAACTTGGGAGGCTGGTGTGGGGCCTTGAGAGGCATTGTAGGTGCCTGGCTGGAGTGTGGGGTAAGGTGCCCCGGGGCCCTTCCTTCCTGTTCTGGGGCTGGTCAGAGGGTGCCCTTGGGCACCGGGAAATGCTTAGATGAGGAGCCTGGCCATCTGCAGCCACAGCCAACATGTGTTCTCTGCGGCAAGGAAGGAGGGAAAGCAGTGGAGGGGCAGGGCTCCTCCACACACCATTAGGTAAGCCATATTCCTGAGGCCTAGGGAGGGTCAACAGGCTTCAGGGGTCACACTGGTTACTTGAGTGTTTGGTCCACAGTGGCCCCCAAGCCCTATGTTCCCTTAGGTCACCCAAGCACAGCTCATGCTCCCAGTGTACCCTGAGCAGATCCAGGCTGTCCTGCCTTCCAACCCTGGTTTAGGCAGTACCTTCCATCCTGAGCCAGTGTCTTCCCACCCACCCATTGGGATCCTAGCCATCCTTTAAGTCCTTCCTAAATATGCCCTCCCCTGTAAGCCTTCCTCAATTCCCTAACCAGATGTGGACGTCTAGAATCTTCAGGGGGTCTGATTCAGCCCTGCATCTGGTGAGTCCTGACAGCACAGCCCTGCCTGCCCAGGGCTCTCACATCCTTTTGAGACAAAGCATTTTGTTTCCATGTAGTGAAGACTCTTATATCATGCTCCTTGGACTCCAGAGCACTTTAGGGCTGCAGCAGGGCATGGTGCAGAAGACTCAGCCTGCTCAGCCACACTGACCTGGATTCATTCCCAACCCTGCCCCTCCCTGGCTGTGTGGTCTTGGGGAAGTCACTTAGCCTCTCTAAACTCTCATTCTTTTACCTGTAAAATGTGGGTAATGACAACTCCTGCCTTGTAGCAGCATCACCCAGGGGCTTGGTGGGCATGTGATACAGTTATTGATTAGAGGAACACATTTGTGTCTACCACCTCTGCCCCACTACCAACTCCTCCAGGACAGGGATTGGACTCTTCTCATCTCCCAGTGGCCCCAGTGACTCCACAAGGCTGGTTCACAGCTTTGCACCACGGAGCATCAAACTGAACACAGTTCTTTGGTTCTTTGGTGGTTCTGGGGATATCCAGCAAAGAGTTCAGACAGCCGCAGGCCCCTCTCAATTCCACGTGACCCTTAGTTGCTGAGCCCCAGGGTCTGCGGTGGACAGGCTCTTCCAGACTCATTTTTTGCTGGTGGCTCATGGAAAGTTTGCTTCTCTGAGTTCCAGGCCACTCCCTCCAGGGCCTGAGTCCTCGCTAAAGCTGGTCCTGCCCTGGAAGGGTGTCCAGGGCCGCCTGCCCGTCCTTGGATCCTCAGCCAGCATTCCCCCCTGCTCTGTCACCGCCTGACTTCCTGCCGCCTTGGCCTTCTCCCCCAGGACAGAGCAGCAGCCTGCCCCCTCTGGCCACGGGGAGGCCTCCTCTCAGCACCCCCGTTCAGAATCACTTTTTGTTTTGGGAAAGAAAGCCCTTTCCTGCTCAAGTCCATAGGCTCTGTGAGCAGCAACCCTAGAAAATTGCAGCCAGGAAGCCAGGTTCTGTAATCCAGAGAGCTGGCACCTGCAATCCCAGCTACTCAGGAGGCTGAGGCCATAGGACCATCTGAGGCCAAGAGTTCAACATTAGCTTGGGCAATGTGCCAAGACCTCACCTCTACAAAAAAAAAAAAAAATTTTTAAATAGCCCTGCATAGTGGTCTGTGCCTGTAATCTCAGCTACTCTGGAGGCTGAGGCAGGAGGATTGTTTTTTGTTCTGTAGAGGTTTTTTGAGACAGCCTTTCCTTCTGTCATCCAGGCTGGAGTGCAGTGGCATAATCACAGCTCACTGCAGCCTCGACCTCCAAAGCTCAAGCAGTCCTTCCACCTCAGTCTCCCTAGGAGCTAGGATCACAGATGCACACCACCACACCCAGCTACTTTTTATTATTAAATATTAGTATTGTTATTTTGCGGAGAGAGGGTCTCACTTTGTTGCCGAGGCTGGTCAGGAGCTCCTGGGCTCAAGCAATCATCCTGTCTCAGCCTCCAAAGTATTGGGTAGGATTAGAGCTTTAAGTCATCTTACCCAGCCGGATCTCTTGAGTGACAGGGTAAGAACCCTTCTCTAAAGAGAAGAAAACTGTGGGCAGTAGGAGCCAACGAGGCCTTGGACTGGCTGGTCAGAGTGGACCTGGCTCCACGGCCCCGCTGAACCTGCTGCTTCACCTCTCTGAACCCAGTGTTCTCCGACTGAAAAGGAGAGAATAGCTTTCCCTTTGCAGGGGATTCAATGAGACAAATTAGATGCTTAATACATATTTTTAAAAGCCGGGCATGGTGGCTCAAGCCTGTAATCCCAGCACTTTGAGAGGCTAAGGCGGGTGGATCACGAGGTCAAGAGATAGACACCATCCTGGTCAACATGGTGAAACCCCATCTCTACTAAAAATACAAAAAAATTAGCTGGGCATGGTGGCACGTGCCTGTAATCCCAGCTACTCAGGAGGCTTAGGCAGTAGAATTGCCTGAACCCGGGAGGTGGAGGTTGCGGTGAGCCGAGATTGCTCTTTTATGTATATATAAAAGAGCAATCAAAGTGCTTAGCACAAAACGTGGCATGCAGAAACCGTCTATATGGGATGTTTCTCCTTAGCCAGCCGTCTCTTGTACAGTAAGGAAACTGAGGCTCAGCTCCCACCTCTAAACAGCCTGGGGAGGAGGAGGCTGGGAGTTGGTGTGCCTGGAGCCAGGGACTGGCTAAGCTCGAGGCCAGGCTTGCCAGCACCACTGGTGTGCCCTGAGGACCCGACCTCAGTATCCCCATCTGTAAAACAAATGGATTGAACAAGGACAGAGGGCTCTGCAGAGGCCTTGGTGGAGGGAGGTGAGCAAAGGGGAGCTCTCTACCCCCACTCATTCCATGCAGCCTTCTGCTGGGGACCACACCATGGGAGCTAGGGAGGGGAGCAGCATCCCTCTTCGGAGATGGATTGGGATTGGCTCCATCTGGGCGGAAGGAAGTCTCATCCCTCCAGGAGGAGGAGTTTAAGGATTAGGAGGCCTGCAGGTTTTTCCAGTGAGCCAGATGCCCTGCCCCCAATCACTGGGAGTAGGAGGTACAGGGGGAGCTTGGGCACAGCGATAACATCCTCACAGTCCCAAGCCTGGCTTGACCTTGACTCTGTGGATCCAAGGTCAGGGTCTCAGAGAACTTCAGGGCTAAGGTGGCATGACTTAGAGGCAGGGGAGGGGCCTATAGTCAATATTGATCTAGCTGAGTCAGGGGAGGACAGGGAAGTGGGAAGCCTGGGGTGGGGCGCCCTGATAACTGCATCTTCAGGCTGCCATTGTGACTTTGGAAACAGGGTGGGGACAATGGGGGAAGGGAAGGGGATGCTCCATGCAAATTCCCAAACCTAGGTACTTGCTTACTAAAACTACAGCTGCCTGGACCCCTGCCCAGAAGAATGGCTCTTGTTCTCTGAGGGTGGGGCCTGAAACATCTGTGTATTTCACAAACTCCCTGGTGAGTCTGCAGCAGCCAGCTCAGTTCCCAGACTTGGGGCCCACAGGTTCCGTGTCATTGTAATATGAGGAAACTGAGGCCCAGAGAGGGGATGCGACTCCTCCAACATCACTTTGGGAGAGGATGCTGACAATCCTCCCTTTTCTCCTGGAAAGAAGGAACCGTCCCCCTCCATCTCCCTCCACCTCCAGCTGAAGCCCTGGGTCTGGGAAGGCATGGAAGGAGGAAGGACAAGGAGCGGAGGACATTTCCACAGGACTGGACCTGCTCCACTTTGCCCTTTGTGCACACCCAGCACCTGCTAGGGGATGTTTCCTGAAAGATTACCGCAGCCCACTCCTGGGGAAGGCCATTTCCACTGCTGGAGCCTGCCCCTGCCCTGAGAGGGTGCCATATCATGGCAGATTCGGGACTCACTCGGTCCTTAGACACCTCCAGCCCCTGCAGCCTCCCCCTGAGCCTGTTCTGCTCACCCTGCCACCACAGTTTTGGGATCCCAGTTTCTGCCCTGCCTCCATCCCACGAAGCGCCCTCAAAAAGCCTCATCCAGCCCCATCGCCATCTCTCCTTCCTCTGGGTTCCTGCACCCTTTGCACCTGCAGATCCAGCCCCCATCCCAGCCTGCCTTGAGTTCTTGCTCTCTGCATGTCTCTCACTGTCTGGAATGGCACTGGAGATTCCTGGGGGACAGGAGACACAAGACAGGTCTAGCTCATCTCTGAGCCCTCCTTGGAGCCCAGCCCAGCCACAGCACGCCCCAGGGAAGCAGGTGTGGGAAGCAGGTGTTCACCGAGGCTGGGAGCCTCAGTCTCACCTCCCTCCCTCGTGCCCTGAGCCATCTTAGGCAGGTTCCTTCCCTCTGGGCACACAGTCTTCTTATTCACAGAATGAAGAGAATAATAGTGCCCACAGTGGAGGGGTGTGCTGAGGATTGAGAGAGTACCTATAAAAGAGGTAGGGTGTGCCTGACGTCGGTCCGTCCCCAGTAAGTGTTCACTGTTGTTATTTCTGGGTGGGTGGAGTACTCATGCCCGCACAGCCTCCAGGACACATCTGCGGGGGTCTCCTCTGTGCAAGAATGACAGCATCTGCTGCGTGCATCTGGAGCATGGATAAGATGCTGTTCTGCCTTCAAAGAGCACAGAGTTCTGCAGACACTTGCTTAGGTGACTTCAAACCAGAGATCTGTGGTGAGGACGGTGGAGTGGATGGTGGAAGCCCAGGAGGGACCTAGCCCAGCGTGTGGGGGAGGCCGGGGAGGGCAGGGGAACTTCCCAGAAAAGATGCTGGAGCCATGTTCTGAAGGCTGAGAAGGTTTCACAGTGTGCTGAACTGGAAAATGAGGGGGAAACGGCCCTCTGCAGTGCGTTTTGGGGTATGAAGACTGCGGGTGTAGACAACGGTGAGAGAGGGCGGAGGTTGGAAGGGGAAGAGGGCCAAAAAGGGAGGAGGTCCTAAGAATCCCACTCACTCCTGGCTGGCTGTTCAGAGATGGGGGCAGGGCAGCACAGACCAGGGCAGGGGAGGCCCCTGGAGGGAACAGAGTGCCGTGCTCGGAGTTTTAGAAAGGGTGAGTCCCCGTCACAGTCTTGCAAGAAGCCTCTTTGCCTTTGAGTCTCAATATTTTCATCTTCAAAATAAGACTGTGGCAACTGGGACAAGAGGTGTTGTGAAAGCACTTTGTGAACTGTAGAGTATCATGCTCCTGTGAGATCATAATAGTGTTTTAAGTGGAGTCAGTACTTTTTGAGAGTTAAAGGATGTCTCCCAGGGCAAGGCAGACATGCTGGAGCCAAGGACTGCCTGAAACCTGCTCCTGTGCTGCCACCTGCTGGTAAAAAGGCACAATGGCTATCCAAGCCCTCAGGACTTTCTGCAGGAGCCACTGGGGCAAGTGAAGGCAGGGCTGGGAGGACGCCTGGCACTAACCCTTGCAGACTCTGGGGCAAGGGTGGAAAATGGAAGCCCCCAAGCCCCTCTTGCTTTTCTCAGCCTTGGCCTGTGCTCTCACTGTGAAGGTCCTCCCCTATGTGCCGAGGGCACACTCCCCACAGACACCTCCCTGGCCATTCCACATACTAGCAGCGAGGATAGACCCAGAAAGCAGCTGGTGCAGGGATTCTGGAGTCTCAGGCACCTGGAGTATGGTCTAGAGAGAACTGTGGGCTCCCATGGGCACCTTCCCTTAGCGCCGTGGCAACTAGGCCTCTGGGCAATGGAGATCACGGCTCAGGGTGGCCAACTGGTCTGGTTGGCCTGGTGCTGTCCTGGTTTTAGCATTGAACATTTCACATAGGTAGCTGGGAAGGTTGATCACTCTGCCATGGTCTGAAGGTGGCCAAAGCCTCTGCATCACCACTTTGACTCTGCCCCGCCAGAGACCAGCAGCTTGGGCTCCAAAGACCAAAGTGTCCCAGGCACTTGGCCCAGGCATATGTTTATGAATGAAGATAACCTTTTTTCCCTTCTCCATTCTTTAAAGCATTCTCTGGTGTGCTGAGTCCTGGGTGCTTGACTGTGAGGCTGGGCTGAGGGAAGAGAACGGGTGGGGGACTTGTGGAATAACCTCCACATTGTATGGGGAAACTGAGGCCCGGAGGAAAAGAACCTTGCCCCAAGGCCTGAGGGAGACTTTAGCTCTTGGCTGCTCAGGCAACCCATAGCCGCCCCCTGGCTCTTGCTGAAGGTGGCCCATGTCCCTGGGAGAAAGCTGACCCCTCCCTGGCTCTACAGGTGGGGCCTGTGGTCCAGGCATAATCCCACAGTGACTGGTTCAGCTTTGAGCACGTGACCATAGTTGGCCCAATCAGAATGAAGACAGAGACTTTTATTTTGCCCTGGGTCAGACCTAGAACTGGAAACCAACGAAAACCTCCAGTGCAGGGGCTTGACCAAGACAGGAACACACAGAGTGCACAGAAGTTTGTAGCTATTTATTGCACTGAAAACACCAAGAATAAAACAGACGCCCCTTCTTCCCATCCCACCCCCCAAATAGCAGAAAGTTTGAGCAGTGGTCATTCAAGTTCACAGCCACATAGTTTTAAAAAAGAAAAGAAAAACAAAAAAGAACTAAAACAAACCCCCAAACAAATAGTAACAAAGAAACCAGCACGGGGAGTCTGGCAAACTCATCCCCCCAAAGGGTCTCCCTTTGAAGGGAGACAGGAGGCCCTGGGTCAGGATTCGCACCGTTGTGGGCACAAACCCAGGAGAAGACGTTCCTGTAAACCTGTTTGCATGCTGGAGCCAAGGTTTTGACTTGGGTTTGGATCTATTTATTTATTTTTTGCATCTAAAGGGTGTTTTGGAGGAGTGCGGAGTTGTCTGGTGAGGGTGGGCTCTGGGCAGCTTTTTCTGTGAGTTTCCCCTGCCTGCTGCCTCAGGATCATCCCTGGTGCCCCATGGTGGCACCAGGTGGCTGCCCACCCACAGGCTGGCCTTCACAGTGGGGGCCATCGCAGCCTGGGGTAGCAACCTGCTTCCACTTCTCTGGCACTTGGAGAGGGACACAGTGGACAGGAGGTGTGTCAGCCATTGAAAGGCAGGACCTCAGGCTCCTCCGGCTCAGTTTCCTCTGGTGGGGAAACCAAGCTCCAGAGAGTGGAAGAAACTTGCCCAAGGTCACACAGCAAGTCAGGTCAGAGCTGGGAATTGAAGCCTACTCACCCCAAACCACTGCTCTTTCCCCTGCAGTCCACTGCTGAAAAGCAGTTGACAGGCACCGAAGAGGGGAATCTGGGGCAGGTGGGGGAAGGCATGGGGCCTGGCCAGTTCTAGAAGTAAACAGGAGTCCTGCCAGTGACTATCGCTGCCAGCTCCTGTGGGTAAATTAGGCTTCACATCGCCAGATGCTTGCTCCTTCATCAGCTGGATGGGAGCAATGAACCCTTATAACCAATGAGGAAACTGAGGCTGAAGAAGAGCTCAGACCTTGCTTGGTAATTGCAGCAGCCCCTGGTGAAGGCCACACCCTCACACTTGACTGGGGATGGTTGTAGGGAACCGGCAGCTCACAAGGGGGACAGGTGGTTTTGCCCCGGGGACAATGGGATCACTGGGCCTTACTGGGAAGCCCTCTGGGCCTGGGACAGGCCAAGAGCCCACCCAGTTCTTGGGCAGCAAGGTCTCTGCCAAGGACAGAGGCCAGTGATGGACCAGCTTGGAAACCAGGAGGCCTGGGCAGCATCTCTCCTGGCTTGCAGACCTGACACTGCCTGTGTCACCTGGGTATGGGCAGCAGGACTTAAGAACCCAGCAGATAGCTGGTGATTGGGGAGAACTCAGAAGAAAGTCTTGGATCAAACATCCTCACCAGTTCTGCTCCAACCAGCACCCAGGAGGGTTGAGGGTACCGGAGCCTCCTCCAATCCCTGGGGACGTGGCTCTTCCTCCCCTAAAATCCTCCAGAGGGGACAGTATCTCATGCTGGCAAAACACGGCCACACAGAGGCCAAAAGCACAGAGAGGCAGCAACATAATTCCGAGTCGGACACTGAGAATACAACCTCTATTTTTGTTTTTAGTCCAAAACATGTAGATTGGTTTTGTTGAGTGTTTTCTTCTTTTTGTTTGTTTTCAACATACTTACTGCATATAAAGTCATGCAAAGAAAACAGTGCAGACAGTAGATCCTAGTGGATGTGCCAAGGTATTCCACTCAGAGTCAATCCCAGGGAAAGAGGGAAAGAGGAAAAGAAAGAGAGGATGCGAACCTGAGGCTGCAGGATGACGCGTGAAGAGTAGAAATTCCCAGTGCTCTGCTGTGGTCATCAGACACCATGGGGGGAGAGGCAATGAGAACACATTCTCATGGGCCCCCCAGAGGTGGGTGGGGGGCGCTGGGGGCGGCACGCAGATATGGTGAGATGAAATTCTGGGAAGTGCAGTAGTGAAGACCCCAGTTTGGGAGGGAAGCAAAGAAAAGTCCAGATATTTCCATCCCTACAGCCTCCCTCCTCCTCTCTGCCCTGACTTGCTATTCCTGAGTCAGCACTGGCATCTGATGCTTCCACAGTCCCCAAAGGAATGCCTGTGTCAGCTTACTTTGGGACCGAAATGGCAGAGAGGCCCTTCTCTCTGGAGCTGAGTTCGCCTCGGCCCTAAAAACCACAGGTGACAAGGTCCATCTCAGAGATGACGAAAAAAAATTTAAAAACTAGAACAGAAAAAAATTACCCCTCATTCCTCTTCCTACACCCCTTCCAACCCGACCCTTCTCACAATAATCTGAGAAGTCTAGTTATTACATAAATATCCAGGAACGCAAAATCCATTTACGAAATACACAGAAATTTGGCTATAAAAAGGCATGCGGTCCAAGTAGAAGTGATACCTAAACGTTGCTTTCTTTTGCCCCAAAAACCAATTTGCTTTCCTCTCTGAGATACGACGAGGCTGGAATTCTCCAGGGACAATGGCGGGGGGTGTGGGGTGAATGTTGGAGGCGGACTTCACCAGAAGGAAGCAGAAAGCAATAGGGCACCTGAGAGGGCCGCAACCCCCACACTGAGGGAAGGGTCAGACCACCCTGAGGTCAGCACAGGAGGGAGAAGACTGGGGGAGGGCTTTGAGGCAGGAGGCTCCTGGCGTCTGCTCCTCTCCCCACTCCTTCAGGGCGGTTGGCTTAGGGGGCTAGGAGGTGTCATCTGCCCTTCCTTGGACATCTGGAAGAGGAAAAGTCCGGGAGAGGGACTGGCGGATGCTACCTTCCTCACCGTGCCATCCCTACTTCTCCCCAGCCCCTGGTGGGCATACAGCCCAGGCATTCTAGCCTACAGCCCAAGGCAGGCCAAGCAGACAGCCACTGGGGTGGGGGAGAGGGGGCCAGTGCCACGGGCACTCAGGCCTGAGGAAGCCCCAGACTGGCCGGGGAGAGGGTGGGGGTGAGAGGTGGAGAGATGTGGCCATTGGCTCTGAAGTTGCGATGACTTTTGTGGACAAGCGGATTTTTTGATGCAGGTACAGAAGTGACAGTGGTGGGGTGATGAGATGGGGGAATTCCAGCAAAATCCACCCGGGAGAACCAGCAGCTCCATTCCACGACAGAGTGGATCTCTGCGGCTCAGCAACGCAGCGACCCTGGCCTGGTCCCTCAGCTGTAAGACACACACAGGGTGCTTCTCAGGGCATGGTGCTTCCTGCGTGGGCAACCCACCCACCCTGCCACCTTAGATGGAGTCCAAGCGGTCCCCGTAGCTCCTGCACAGTTCTTTCCCCAGACCTGCAGGCCTGTTCTCCTTCTTGGGGTCTGCCCTAGACCTGCAGAGTGGGGTCTTCCCACTCTGTAACCTTTCAGAGCCGAAGCAAGCAGCTTCCCCGATGTAACCCCCTCCAGGGCAACACCCCATCCTTTATGTTAATCTGGGAAGCAGGAAGGAGGGATTCTTACTGGGGCAGGACGGAGGGCGCCCCAGATCTGTGGAAGTGAACAATCTGCCATTTGCCGTCCCGGCGGTGCCAGACGCGGGTCTCCTCCGATTGGGCGGTGCGGGGGATGCCGCCGGCATCCAGGTACTGCGTGATGCGGATGTAGGCAATGCAGGCCGACTCATCGCCCATCAGGTGGATGTGGGGATTCAGGATCGTAGTGTGCACAGGCTTGCTGTTCCGGGACCACACTGGAGGTGGAGATGGGAAGGGCAGAGGAGATGCAACTGGGGGCCTCCTTCTCACTGTCTTCACTTTCTCCACTCCCAGCAGCCCTCTCAGCAGAGGCACCCTGCCTGCTTCATTTGCAGGGAGGGGGCCTCTGTGTCAGGGCTCAGCTACCTGGGGTAAGGTAGAACTTCTAGATGGTTGGGACATCACATCCCAGCTTAGATACAGTGGAGTTCAGACATGCAGAATTCATCCAACATGGGAAAATGGAATGTTAGAATCGTAGACTGTTAGCCACATGGAAGTAAGCCCAGATGATTATAGAACCAGATGAGCTCCAAGCACAGTCTCAAAGCCAGATCTCCCCAGGTGCCAGGCAGGCACATAAACAGCAGGGGCTGAGCCGGGTATTAGATGCTAAATGACAACTGACCTCTGGGTCGGGGGAGTGATGGGGAAACAGTGGCAAACAGAATGCCTTGTCCCACCTAAAGAGGGCATCCCGCACACAGCTTCCCGGTGGCTGGTATGTGAGTGACACTGGTGTTGACACACCTGGTTTTTCAAGAGAATCTGGAAATCTGAATTTTTATATGAAAACTCTTCATTTTTAAATTTCATCTAATTCAAATTTAAAACATCATGCAGGCCATGTGAAATATATCTGTAGTTCAGACACAGTCCGTGGGCCTGCTGGCCGCTTCTACTGTAGATACATATAGAATTGTGGAAACTTAAAAAAAAAAAAAAAAAAGAATTGTGGAAACTTGGGGGAATATGAGAATTTCAGAATCTTAGAACCTTGAAATGATAAGGATGATATTAGCGGTCATGGGGGTCATCACAAGGTCATGGGGCTTTCCAGAGTTAGGGAGCAATACATAACTCTTGGAGTCACGATAGGGCTGACAAAGTCCTTGACACCAGATCCCACCGCATGAAATGAGACACCGCCATTACTATTATTAAATTGATTCTAGAAACTCGATGTTTTCCTCAAGGTAGAAAATGAAAGCATAGAAAGACAATGACCCAGGGAGGAGTGGTGATCTGTATCTGGGGCTTGAGAGGAACCCTTCTATTTGTGTAGCCTGAATGCAGGCCTGAATTATGCAAAGTGCTGACTTTAAACACAGCTTCCCCAACCCTACCCTTAGAGAGCAGAGGCCAAGAATCTCTAATGTTAAAAATCTCCCTTCTCCTTCCTTACCCCTTGACCCTGGTGCCAAGCCAGGTTTGTGAGCCACTTATTTTCTGAAAAATATAAAGTGTGTGTGTGTATTTTTTTTTTTTTTTTTTTTTTTTTAAGGATTGCAGAAAGTATCCAATAGCACCGATCTCCTGTTAGAACACGTTACACCCAGGCTTTAGGTAAAGGACTTCACCAAGTCTTAGGCTCGTAGAGTAACAGAATTCTGGGCTCTTGGACATGTAGAATGCAGAGTTTTAGCATCATAAACTTGGGAGTGACCTCGGAGGTCAGAGGTCATCCAGCAGCCCAACTGTAGAATCTGAGGAGAGCTCTGTAAGTGTCCCTGACAGTGTTCAGTGCTGGAGGCATACAAGACCATCTATTCAACATATCCGTTCCACAGATATGCAAATAAGGTCCAGCGTAGCAATCTGATTTGTCCCAGGCCAGGCTAATTCCTGAAAAAAGTGCAGTGGAATCTAAAAAAAGTCAGTTTGGGCCGGGAGTGGTGGCTCATGCCTGTAATTCCAGAACTTTAGGAGGCTGAGGTGGGTGGATCAAGTGAACCCAGGAGTTTGAGACCAGCCTGGGCAACAAAGCAAAACCCTATCTCTATGAAAAATATGAAAAATAGCCAGTTTCATAACCTGGTTGATAGATGATAGATAGATAGATAGATAGATAGATAGATAGATAGATAGATAAAATTATTTTTTAAAAAAGAAGTCAGTTTCCAAGTGAGACTCGGTTAGGACAATCTAGAACAATCCCAGGAGGTACAAACAGAGTTTAGCATTGTTGGGGGCACTCGGCCTTGCTACAGTCAGCAATGGCTGGGGTCTTAAGAGGTATTTGTAAAGAAATGCCACCTGATGTGGTGTCTTTTGAAAAGACAGGAGGCTTCCAATATCTATCGTTGTGCATAGGGTGGGAGACAGAGCCAAGTCGTCAACAGGAAAAAATAGGGCTCTGGAAGGTGGGGCTTGGCCAGGAGTGAGCAGTTACTCTGGGTCTGCCCTTGTGAGTTCTGCATTGGAGGTGAGATGTTTAAGCCTGCAGTTGGGGGACCAACGCTAAGAGGGGCCTCTGTATAGACACAGGCAAAGGGCTGCATGGCTTCCTCTCTGTGATGATTTCCATTTTGTCATCCTTCAGCCTTTACAGTTGGGACTTAGCCTGGTCTCGGCTTTGTGGGGATTGTAAGTTTACCCTCGGGACTGGTGCCCCCAGAGGACAGACTGTAGGATGGTCGCCTCCGTAATCAGTGCGGGAGCTCCAGGGCAATAGAACCTACGGGGTTCAGCCACCTCTCTTTGCCTAAGAATTCAATCTCTTTTTTTTTTTTGAGACAGAGTCTCACTATGTCACCCAAGCTGGAGTACAGTGGCGCCATCTCAGCTCATTGCAACCTCTGCCTCCCAAGTTCAAGCAATTCTCGTGCCTCAGCCTCCCTAGTAACTGGGATTACAGGCGTGTGCCACCACACCTGGCTACTTTTTATATTTTTAGGTAGAGGCAGGATTTCACCATGTTGACCAGACTGGTCTTGAACTCCTGACCTCAGATGATCCTCCCGCCTCGACCTCCCAAAGTGCTGGGATTACAGGCATGAGCCACCACACCCGGCCAAGAATTTAATCTTCCTTGTTAGCCTTTGAGAATTCGTTTGATTTACTAAAGGAAGATACTGCTTTCTTTTTCACAGCTTTTTGGAGGGTGTCCTTGGCCTCTGTATGCTATACAATTCAGTCAGAGAGGGTGCAAGCCAGGAGAGGAGTGTCAGTCCCAGTGGAGGCTTGCTAATGTGCAGATGCAGGAGGTGCTACAGGGAAGGGAAAGGGCACTGGGGTGAGTCAGCTCTAGGTTCTGCCACTGGCTTTCTGGATTCCTTTAGACAAGTCACTTCCCCTCTCTGAGCCTCAGTTTCCCCTCTGTATGATGAAGAGTTGGACTAGATCCTACTTCAGTCACTAAAGTACCTTCTTCGTTATTTTTACCATTCACAAGTGCCACCTGTACTTACTTCATTAAAGTATTTCCCAGGCCAGGCGTGGTGACTCACACCTGTAATCCCAGCACTTTGGGAGGCCAAGGCGGATGGATCACT